AGTTCGTACAGGTTTGGATTACTTGTTATTTTGATTAGACCCTCGGCATATGACTCTTATACCTATCTGTTATTCCAGTCATTTGGTTTGTCAGCACGATTTTATTTTTAATTTTTTGCAATTATCTCTCTGCCTCAATTAATCAGACCATAGGTCATCTCTTCACTTGCTATTCAGCTGTTGCCACTTTACTCACACCCTCTGACACTTTTGATCACCTGCAGAGACTTATTCAGCCTGTCACCACTCCACTCACACCGTTGTACGATCTTTTGATCTCTCTGCCTATAAATTTTGTGCCAATGTGATTGTCTTCACTTCAAAGAGCTTGTGATTTCAAATAAACCTATTGGACCATAACCTGGTGTCTTGTGACTTCTGACCTAAATAAAATACAGACAGTACAGTGTTTTATGAAAAGAGGAAATAAGTTACGCCATTTAACTTAATTTCCTTTCATAAATGGTTTCATATAACTATGTTCAATTACAAGAGGTAAATTTTCACCAAGCCCTTAAGAAACTCATTCCAAATCAAAAACAAAAGCTGCTCTCTGTGGTCTATCAGCTAAAGCCAGTAAAGAGCGCACTTTCATCAGATTTACCTTCCAAGCTTCGCTCACTTGTTATGCTGTATGGCGACCAAATAATTTGTTTTCCCTTGGCTTCAATCCTTCCTCTCTCCTGGGCAGCCCAGCCGCCTCTGCCAGCACAACTTTCTGCTGTTCTGCGACAGTCAGCACTGCTGACTGCAGAGCCTGAAGAAGGGTAATACCCGAAACGTTGACTGCTCCTTTCCTCCAGATACTGCCTGGCTTGCTGTGTTCTTCCAGCCTCTTGTTTGTCTACCTTGGATTCCAGCATCTGCTGTTTCTTTGTCACTAGCCACATTCAATGTACCATTCACCTTCTTTAATTCTCACAACTCCTGAGACAACACACAGAGGCCGGTCAGCAGAACCCACCCTTTGGGCAATACCCCTGGTTTGCTTTGGGAAATCTACTTCCTTTGCACAATCCTTTTTGGCATGGAGTAACTCCTTGAGATTTTGCTCCAAATCCCGTCCAAAATTGTGGGGCCCTCAAACCAGCCAACCAATTTGCTAGCACACTGAACCCATCATAACAGGACTACTGTGGAACACAGAATGTTTCCCAAGCCAAGATATCCTTCTTCTTCTTCTTGAAGTTTTTGTTCAGACCCTGCACACAGCAACAAGTGTAATGTTATGCTGATGGTACCTAACAGGTTCTTTTAAGGTCTGATCAAAATGAATGCAAGAAGATACATGCATTTCAGTACGTAGGACATTTATCAGCTTAATTTATTTAATATGTATATAAAAACTAAGAAGCAAATCTTTTAGCTTAATCAACTTTATATAAAAACTAATGAGCGAATCTATTTGCTTAAAGTAATTTAAACAATGAGTCTCAATGCCTTTTGGCTTGATGGGAACTGACGATGGTGGCACTTGGAGCTCTAACTCAGATTCCATGGCACAGGTCTCATGAACCCCATCTTTTAAAAACCCAACACTATACTGTCCTGTCAGTCTACTCTCGATCCTCAGTAAAGAAATGTAAGGGGTTGTTAACAGTACTATAAGAGTGTACTTGCAAAGGAATAACCTGCTCACTAATGCTCACTTTGGGTTGCTCACGTCCACTCAGTTCTTGATCTCATTACAGTATTGGCCCAAACATTGACAAAAGAGCAGAACTTCAGAGGTGATTGGAGACTGACTGCTTTTGACAAAAAGGCAGCATTTGATAGTGTATGGCATCCAGGAGCAGTAGGATTGATGCATTTTTCAATCGTTAATAATTTACAGTTGATTAAGCATATCAGGACTAAATTACATTTCCTTTAATTGTGATTAGGTATAAACAGTTTTTTGAAATAAGAATGCCACGTGGCCCCAGGTCAAAAATAATGTCATTGGTTTTATAGCGCATGCAAATATAAACTTTAGCTGATACATGTGAGAATGCTATTATTCGAGACACTGCTATGTTTAAAATGGTTTAGTTTTACAATTTGAAGTAGGCATCTGGTCTATGATTAAACATGTGCTCATGTATATATGTATATTACTTTGGATTAGTTTCTGTAGTGAATTTTATCATCTTGAAGTTGATGTGATATTTTTAGACATACCAATCAGGATATTTGGGATGGTACTTAACAGTTTGTGAGTGAAGCTACAATAAATGGCCTAATTTTGTCCAAAAATGAATGGATTGGGGAGAAACTGATAGTTTTGTGTTTCTAATCTTCCAGGAAGAACTAGCCAATTTGAATTCTAAGATGAGAGTTTTGTTCAAACACGTTTTCATATCTATTCAGAGCACAGTCCTTTAAAAAGAGTTAAAAGCTACCCTCGTATTTACATAAGAACATAGAAATAGGAGCAGGACTAGGTCATTCACCTCCTCAAGCTTGCCCTTCCATTTTATGAGATTATGACCAATCTCTCCCTGGCCTCAATTTTTCTTCTGTGCCAACTCCTTGTTGTCATCAACCCATCAAAATTTCAAAAATCTATCTGTATCCTCTTTAAATACTTTCAGTGATCTAATCTCCACAACTTTCTGGGGTAGAGAATCCCAAAGAATTTGCAGATAATACAAAAACTGGTGGGGTGGTAAATAGTGAGCAGGAAAGCCTTAGATTACAGGAGGATATATGAACAATTTTATGAAGTCTCAAGGGGCATGGATAGGGTGAGTAGCCAATGTCTTTTTCCTGGGGTGGGGGGAGTCCAAAACTACAAGGCATAGGCTTAAAGTGAGAGGGGAAAGATTTAAAAATGACCTGAGGGGTAACTTTTTCATGCAGAGGGTAGTGCGTGTATTGTACGAGCCACCAGAGGATGTGGTGGAGGCTGGTACAATTACAACATTTAAAAGGCAACTGGATGGGTACATGAATAGGTAGGGTTTCGAGGGATATGGGCTAAATGCTAGCTAGGTCAGATTGGGATGACTGGTCAGTGTGGATCAGTTGGACCAAAGACTCTATGACTCCATAACCTGCCTAGCCATTCTTGATTAGCCAACTCCTTCATTCCAGGAATCGGCCTAGTAAATTTCTTCTGGACTGCCTCCAAAGCCAGTACATTGTTTGTTAAAAATGGGGACCAAAACTGTACAGAGTACTCCAGGTGAGGCCTCACATAGATCCCCATGTGCCGCACTTCTTTGGAGACTCTTTTCATTTCAATAATAGTCTGCCTTTGATTCTTCTTACCAAAGTGCATGACGTCACACTTTCCTGCCAAATTTTTGCCCAATCACTCAACCTATCTATGTCTCCTTGCAGATACCTTATACCCTCATCATAACATGCCCTCCAACCTACTTATAAATCATCAGCAAAGTAGGATACATTACACTTATATCATCCCCTCCCTCAAGTCACTAATATTGATAATAAATAACTGGGGCCCTAGGACTGATCCTTGTGACACTCAACTAGTTATATCTTTTGAACTTGATAAAGACCCATTAATTTTGACTGTGTCTTGTGTGTGTTAACGAATCCTCAATCCATGCTAATGCTAATGCATTACTCACCCCCCACCACCCCAACAACATTGTGAGCTCTTACTTTATGCAATAAATTTTTATGTAGGACCTTATCAAATGTCTTCTGGAAGTCCAAAAACACTGCAATTATCAGATCCCTTTCTCAAGTCTGCTTGTTATATCCTCAAAGAACAGTAGCAAACTTATCAAACATGATTTCCCTTTCACAAAACTGTATTGACTTTGAGATAACAAGGTGTAGAGCTGGATGAACACAGCAGGTCAAGCAGCATCAGAGGAGCAGGAAAGCTGACATTTCAGGCCTAGACCCTTCTTCAGAAATGGGGGAGGAGAAGGGGGAGGTAGATAGAGGAGAAGATAGGTGGAGAGGAGACAGACAGGTCAAAGAGGCGGGGATGGAGCCAGTAAAGGTGAGTGTAGGTGGGGAGTTAGGGAGGGGATAGGTCAATCCAGGGAGGACTGACAAGTCAAGGGGGCGGGATGAGGTTAGTAAGTGGGAGGTGGGGGCGGGGTTGGGGGGGGTTGGGGGGGAAGGGGGGGGGACTAGATAGTAGAGGGAGGCGGGGACAAGCTAGGCTTGTAGGGGGAGGGGAGATTTTGAAGCTTGTCCCCAGCTTGTCCCCGCCTCCCTAACCTGTCCTTCCTCCCACCTATCCCCTCCTCCCTCTACTATCTAGTCTCCTTAAATTCACGAACAAAAACAGAAGTTGCTGGAAAAACTCAGCAGACCTGGCAGCATCTGTGAATCAGACCCTACTGAAGGTTACCGGATCCGATACGTTAACTCTGATTTTTTCTTCACAGATGCTGCCAGACTTGCTGAGCTTTTCCAGCAACTTCTGTTTTTGTTCCTGATTTACAGCATCCGCAGTACTTTCGGTTCTCCTTGAATTTATGCCTGCAGATATAGTTATTCTGCCTTGTGAACACTGCTACCATTATGTGTATTGTTTAGCCTTTGGCAATAGTGCAGGGAATTGAGTCAAAGTGTATGCAGGCGTAATTTTAGCATCCAATAAATGTTTCAGAGGAGGACTTAGCGATTTCTGCCTCAGCCAAAACGAAGTCAGTTAAATCTGTTCATATTGATTTTATTTCGGGCTTTGTCTTGGAATCCTGCAATAAAGATTGGGGCAGGCAAATGAAATTGTGTTATTAGTAATTCCACGGGATAATTTCCAGAACAGTCAGAGGGACTCTATCCGAAATAAAAGCGTTCCAGTAAAACCAACGATCAATTTTCCGTCCTCGGATAAGCATGTCTCCCTTCAGGAAAGTTGCAAACAGGAGGATTCCGTCAGGTGGCCGCCTTGAACATTGACACCTCCCCATACCTTGTTCACTCCCTCTCCCCAACGCAATAATTGTGTTCTGGTGACGTATAAAGAACAGGTTAGTGACAGGCTCAGCTGTCAAATCTATCTGAGCCGTTCTCATTTTCTTCCAATACTCATTATTTGTGTGGCTAAGTACAACGCTAACGACTGAGTGGGCTACAGATGTAGCCTACGTTTTAAAATTTGTATCTCAATTCGTTATATAGTCAACATTTTTATTCACCTATCAGATTTCTAGCATCCATACCATAATTCCATTTTTCTACAAATATTAATTAGCTAAAAATTAAACGGGCTGAACATTGCCCGTCAACAAATTTCCATCTTTTGTATCGGACTGTCCACCGTTTTGGGTTCAATTATCTTTCTGAAGTCAGTGAAAGGTGAGGTTGGCTAAAGTAAAATTAACCAGAATCTGCAGCCCATTCCTCTGTGAAGCTAATTCCAACTCCAATACATCCGCCTCAGTTCAGTGAGTGAGCAAACTGACCTTGATTCTATGCAGAATATTGACCTGTCTCCTTGGATTTAGGAGGTGCATCTTTGCCTCTCTGATGTGGCTGAAAGATGAATCTCTACTGTCTTTTCCATCGCGTTCAATAATGCCCACAATTTCGAGTATTCTTTTTCAGAAAATCGGAACGTGTTAAGGGAACCCTGGTGTGCAGAGTTCAGCCAAAATGGCAGTTGCATTTCCGGACGGTAGGTCGACTCTAATTGTGAGCTGGAAGCAAAACTTTGCTGTGGAAGAGCTCCAAGGGTTTCTTTACGTTCATTTCAAAGATTTGGCGCACAGCTTTCAAGCCGACTGTGAGCTCAAGAAACTCGACTCCCAGCAAATTCTGGTTATCTTGACAAGAACAACGAGAGAAGGTAAATGCTAAAGTTTGTACGGTCAAAATGCATTTTGACAATGTATTCTGAATCTTTTAGAAACTCCAGCGCCATGAACTAGTAGCTACATTATTTAATAGCTTAACGTATTTCTTGAAAAGAAGATTTCAGTCACCCCTCTTTTTTTGCTGTTTTGTAGTTAATATGTTCAGATGGGTCATAACAGGGAAAAGGTATTTTATTTTTCTAGTGAACGTTATGCTGTCCACTTTTTGTCAAACAACAATTATTTTGCAATTATTTGGAAAACAGCAATAATAACACTTTTTTCTCTGCCCAGTGTTAAACAGTATTGCTGAAAATAAACACATCTCATATAAAAATGAAGAGATTGAACTTGACATCAAAATCCCAATTGACGATGTTTTTATTGGAGATCAAGAAAAGTTAGATGAGGAGAAAAAAACGGTAATGTTTATTGTAAAATATTGTTTTAATTTTGAAACTTAGATAAGTGACGTTTTGTGATCTGACCCAGAAATTTAAGCACTTATTGGCCATTATCGCTTAACCTTTTCCCATACTTTCAACTAGAACGCCCTCCTGTCCTCTATTGCCAAAGCTGTTTCTAAGAAACTTAAAGCAATCAGAATAATTAAAAAACAAACTATTTTTCCAAACAACTCATTCAGAGATGTTATTACATACTTCTGGAGCAGATGGGACTTGAACCTAGGCTGCCTGGCCAGGGGTAGGGACACTATCAATGTGCCACAAAATGGCTCCATAAGGCCTCATTATGTATGTCACCCTTGTCTTACCATAGGGCTGCCTCTCATTAGGGAAAAAGAGAGACAACCAGTGGTGATTTAACCAGAGGGCCTCACACCTCAGGTGAGAGGAAAGGTTGAGAATGAGGGTCCTTCATGGTAACCTTAACTGGTGTGGGGATTGAACCCTAGCTGTTGGCATAACACTGCTTCTCAAATCAACCATTCAGTCAACTGGGCTAAAACAACTCGGACCTGTCTAAGTAAAGGAATGGTAATGGTGACATGAATGGGACTAAATCATGACAATATCTGGATCTGACAAGCTACATCCTCGGGTTTTAAAAAGGTGCTGCAGAGATAATGGGCACATTTGCTTTGATCTTCCAGAATTCCTTAGATTCAAGAGCAGTTCCAAAAGATTGGAGACAAGCAAACACAACTGCTATTTAAGAAAGGAGAAAGAAAAAACTGGTTAGCTATAGGCTAGTTAAGCTAACAATAGTAGCAGGCAGAATGCTTGAATCTGTAATTAAAGTCAATGGGTTGGATTCTACAGGGCACCATGGTCCCTGTCCTATCCAACTATAAGGTCAAGGTGAAGACTGTCCACCACCCTGATGGCTGTCCCATAATAAATATTCCATTGGGAGCAATGTTGATTATTCTAAGATGAGATTTTTATCTGTTCCTCGAGAGCAAGTCCTGCCTTAGAGCCACTGCTGAGATCACAGGCAGCCCCATTGTGTTCAAGAGTGTAAGGAGGTTCAGTACCAAGGGGTGCTGGTGAGGGTTGAAGGCACGGTGGAAGGTTAAGGAGAGGAATGACTGTGGAACTGTGTCACAAAGGGGGTTCATTCCACTTGTCTGACACCAGTTCATGCAACTAAGCTGATATGTCATGGTCCTCCACCTGCTGAAGACAAAACACCGATGATGATGGGATGAAACCCTTTAGTAGTGTTAATTGACTACTTAATAGACACATTAGGTTCGAGGGCAGGCTAGTTGCTGGATGCCTACCCAGTCCTTTTTAAAATTTTGGATAGACTAGGTGTTCACTGTGTAAGCAGTGGGAAGGCACCTTGCTGGGTAATATGAGCTCACCCTTATCTTCAACCCTACTGTCAGGGAAACATAAAATACAGCCCATTACAACAGGGTAGTTAGGAAAATGAAAACATAGGGAAGAGGAGCAATAATGCTACTTGGCCCCTTCTGTCTGCTCCATCATTTTATCAGATCATGGATGGTCTTTTATCTCATTGCCATCATTCCACACTGTTCCCATATTCTATGATGTTTTCAATATCTAGAAATCTATGATCTCTTGAATGCACTCAATGATGACATCCACAACCCCTTGGACAGGGAATACCACAGGTTCACACTTTGAGTGAAGAAATTCCTCCTATCTCAATCCTGAAAGGCCTACCTCTTATTCTGAGACTGCATGTGCCTTATCAAGCTCTGTAAGAATTTTATTTGTTAGATCACCTCTCATTCTTCCAAACTCTAAGAGTACAGAGCACATTTCAGTTTAGATTGTTATAATATTTGGATTAGGTAGTTAACTCAATTTTATGGAAACTTTTGAGTATTTTTGATGATCTAACCAGTAAGATGGATAAGATAACTAATCAATATAATGTATTTCCAAAAAGCATCAGGCTCTACAGGACAGATTATTATACAAAATTAGGAAAAATGGGATTGATGATTGATTAATGGACATAAAACAGCATAGAAATAAACAGACTTTGACACTTATGCATGCTGTATTTAGTAGATTGAGTACATGAACATCATCTATTTACAATTGATATTAATTACTTAGATGAAGAAATTGAATATAATATATCTATGTTTGCTGACAGTACATAGGTAAGTTGGAGAGTAAGATCTGAGGAAGCACAGAGGTTCCACAGAGAAACAAACCCCAGTTGGCTGAATGAGTAATTCAAATAAGAATTCAAGGTAGAAATGTCTGAAATTATCCATTTAGGTAGGGAAACAAAAGGTGGAATATTGTTGAATGCTGAGATACCAAGCAGTGTCTATATTCAGAGGGATTTAGATGTTCTTGTAAATAAATTACATTAAGTTAATGTTTAGGTACATCAAAAAAATAAGAAGTTAAGTGTTATTTTAGCTTTTGTAATGGAGAAATTGGAGTAGAGGAGTAACAAAGCCTTGCTAAATTATGCAGTGCAATGATGAGATCATATCTGGAATGCTGCGTACAGTTTTGATCTCCTTACACGGAATGAGAGGATTTTCCAATAGGAGAGATTGAGGAATCTGTTTAAATTTTAATGGGTTTTAAAAGAAAGACAAGTGATCTAATTGAAACATTGAAAAATTCTTCAGTGATTTGACTTGTTGGATGCAAAGTGATTTCCAGAAAATGAATCTAGAACAAGAATTCTCAGAATAAGAATCACAGAAAGCATACAGTGTGGAAACAAGTCTTTCAGCCCAACAAGTCCATAGCAACTCTCTGAAGAACATCCCACCCAGATTCAACCCCATACACTATCTCTGTAACCCTGCATTTCCAATGGCTAATCCACCTAGCCTGCACATCCCTGGCCACTATGGGCAATTTTGCATGGCCAATCCACCTAACCTGCACATCTTTGGACTGTGGAGAAAACCAGAGCATACCCATGCAGACACAGAGAATGTGTAAACTCCACACCGACAGTCGCCCAAGGCTGGAATTGAACCCAGGTCCCTGCTGCTATTAGGCAGCAATGCTAATCATTGAGCCATTGTGCTGCCCCATAAGGGGTTGACAATTTAGTATTGGGATGAGAAATTTCTTTCCTTAAAGGATTGTGAATCTTTGGCATTTTCTACCCAAGAACCGTTCATGTTATGCAGTTGAGTTTATTCAAGACAGAGATTAACTAAGCTAACAGGATGTGAAGAGAGCTAAAAGGTGTGGAATTGTGCAAGGTGGAGTTGAATTAGAAGATTTCGTATGACTTTGTGGAAGGCTTTTCAAAGGATTTAATGTGTTCCAGAATCAGAATTGGGACTTGACTTTAGAAGTATGCCACTACTTTTATTGAGGCACAATTAAATCTGTTTCACTTTCATGTGACAAATGGTGGTACCAGAGCTGTTTGAAACACTGTCATAATCCAACAGAGCTCTTTTAGCAGTTCTTTTATGTTCCTAGCTATGATGCATGAAAGCTTTGGTCTTTAAACATAATCCTTCTAGATTTAACCTATCCTGAAACATTAGGTATAATTTGGAACACTGACACTGAAGCTATAGGCAATAAGATCTGCAAAAGATGAATTTGCTGAAGGGAAGATGCTTGAAAGGAAGGAAGCACATTGCAATTAATGTGTGTGTGTGTGTGTGTGTGTGTGTGAGAGAGACTGAGAAGACAGTGCAGTGAATTATCTTCCATCAAAGAAGATGTGCGGAAAATATAGGTGCTGAGGTCAACTACCATCTCACTCTGTCACAGTTACAAATGGTTGCTGCTTCTCTACCTAACTGCACAGAAATAGCTGTGGAGATGGACTGTCAGTTGCATCACAGTGGCTTTCCCTTGCATTCACTTTTTGGTATCACCACTTCGAGGAAACATGATAAAGGTTTCATAGTTCCTGGAAATGTTGGTAATTACTGTGAGCTGCTCCATGGATGGAGAGAACCTTGTAATGACCTACTGTCTTTCATTTCTGCCCTAACAGATGCACAGTTTTAAAATCTCTAGTGGGCCATTTTATTAGAGCTTGATGGCTATCTTTGCTATTCTGGCCTAGTAACAGCCTCATTGTGGCCCTGACAATTATGGGCTTCCTCTTGACACATACTGATCCCCATCTCCAGAAATTGTGCAGAGATGGGGTGAGTGGAAGTCAAAGAAGGATGAACTCCTTAATCTCTCAGAAAGTAACTACTTATTTATCAATTGCTAAACTTGTGGAGTGTATAATGTTGGTACTTATCCTAAGTATCTTTCTGTTGCAATTATTTTACTTTAAAAGTAGATTTATTATTCAAGAATGTTCTCAATCTTATTTTCATTAATAGGCTTTTGAGAGTGATGATAAGCATGATATTGGTAAGTGTTTCCCAGTTTCAGGACATGGAGTTTAAAAATGGTGTTTTTTAATTCTCAAAGTAGTTCTTGCAATTTAAAAACGTTCGGTTAAAATTGACCAGACTTGTGCATAGCATGAAAAACAAAATGTTTGATTCCAGAATTGGGAACAGTGATAAGGTTAAAAAGAAATATATTAGTAAGCAATATGAATGAAAAGTCTTTCCTAATTCCATGATTTTGTTATTCTGATTACGTTAACAGAAATCTACTTTTTGTGGTCTCTACAGTTATTTTAGACGGAGGCCTGTGAATAAAATGATTTAAAATAAGGGAAGTTCCCTTTGCGTTTTTGTTCAGAATTATATTGGCAGATTGTTCAGTCTCTTCAGGAACCAGTAGAAGATCAGTTGCGGGATTTTCCAGTTTATTCCACTTCATTGAAACCAAGATTACATTTTTTTTTTATTTGTATGGCTTTATTTATTATTAGCACACAGAACATAGAACAGTACAGCACAGGAACAGACCTTTCAGCCTACCATGTCTGTGTCGACCATGATGCCATTGTAAACTAAACCCATCTGCCTGCCCATGGTCTGCATCCCATTGATCCCTATTTGTTCGTGTGTCTGCCTCTTAAATGTTGCTATCATACCTGCTTCCAACACCTTCCCTGGCAGTGCATTCCAGGCACCTACTATCCTCTGTTTTTTTTAAAAAATAAAACTTGCCTTGAACATCTCCTTTTAAACTTTTCCCCTCTTACCTTAAACCTATGACCCCTAGTATTTGATATTTCCACCCTGGCAAACAGTCTCTGACCATCCACCTGCTCTAATCCTCCCATAATTTTTATATACTTTAACTAGGTTGTCCCTCAAATTCCGCTCTAGTGAAAACAGTCCAAATTTGTCTAACATCTCATTATAATTACTACACTTCAATCCAGGCAACATCTTGGTAAATTCCTTTTGCATCCTCTCCAAAGCATCCACAACCTTTCTATAATGTGGTCCATAACTGCACACAATACCCCAATTGTGGTCTAAGTAAAATTTTATACAGATGCAACATGACTTGCCAACTTTTATACTCAATGCCCTGACTGATGAAGGCAAACATTCTGTATCCAGAAGCCTTTTAACTGTTGTAATTGTACCAGCCTCCACCACTTCCTCATGGCAGCTCATTCCATACACACACTAGCCTCTGCATGAAAAACCTGCCCCTTAGGTTTCATTTAAATCTTTCCCCTCCCACCTTAAACCTATGCCCTTTACATAAGAACATAAGAACTAGGAGCAGGAGTCGGCCGTCTGGCCCTTTGAGCCTGCTCCGCCATTCAATAAGATCATGGCTGATCTTTTCGTGGACTCAGATCCACTTACCCGCGTTCTCACCGTAACCCTTAATTCCTTTATTGTTCAAAAAAAACTACCTTTTTTTTAAAAACATTTACTGAAGTAGCGTCAACTACTTCACTGGGCAAGGAATTCCATAGATTAACAACCCTCTGGGTGAAGAAATTCCTTCTCAGTTCAGTCCTAAATCTGCTCCCTCTAATCTTGAGGCTATGCCCTCTTGTCCTAGCTTCACCTGCCAGTGGAAACATCCTCTCTACTTCTATCTTATCTATTCCCTTCGTAATTTTATATGTTTCTATAAGATTCCCCCCTCAATCTTCTGAATTCCAATGAATATAATCCCAATCTACTTAGTCTCTCCTCATAAGCCAACCCCCTCAACTCCGGAATCAACCTAGTGAACCTCCTTTGCACCCCGTCCAGTGCCAATACATCCTTTCTCAAGTAAGGAGACCAAAACTGCACACAGTACTCCAGGTGTGGCCTCACCAGCACCTTGTACAGCTGCAACATAACTTCTCTGCTTTTAATTTCAATCCCTTTAGCAATGAAGGACAAAATTCCATTTGCCTTCCTAATTACTCATTGTACCTGCAGACCTACCTTCTGTGATTCATAGTTTTGGACTCGCCCACCCTGGGGAAAAGACTTTGTCTACTCACCCTAACCATGCCCCTCATGATTTTATGAATATCTATAAGGTACCCCCTCAGCTTCTGACACTCCAGGCCTCTCCCTATAGCTCAAACCCTCCAACCCTGGCAACATCCTCTTAAATCTTTTTTGAACCCTTTTTAGTTTCACAACATCTTTCCAATAGCAGGGGGACCAGAATTGCATGTAGTATTCCAAAAATGGCCTAACCAATGTCCTACACAACCACAACATGACCTCCCAACTCCTATGCTCAATGCACTGACCAATAAAGGCAAGCATACCAAACACTGTTTTCACTATCCTGTCTACCTGCGACTCCACGTTCAAGGAACTATGAATCTGCACTCCAAGGTCTTTTAGGGACTTAGACTCTTAGTGATCGTAATGGCTTGTATCCTAATATTTTTCATGACACCCAACACCACCTCCTTCTTAATATTGACATTCCCTAGAGTATCAACACACCCCTCCCCATCTTACCAACATCGGTATCCTTTTCTTGCTGAATACGAAATAAAGACCTCAACCACTTCCTCTGGCTCCTTGTATAAAATCCCTCCTTGTCCTTGAGTGGACCTAGCTACCCTCTTGTTCCTAATGTACATTAAAAAAGCCTTCTCTTTAAGATTTTCATTAATCCTACTTTGCCTAAGTAGTTTCTTGGCCCATTTTAGCCCTCCTAATTCTTTGATTTTTTAAAAAAAAATTCTGCAATGCTTGATAAAACTGACGCCTATTATTATTGCTATTTTTAATATGCCTTTGTGTGATGTGACCAAAAAGAACAAGCCACATTTGAGCAAGAAATGGAAACTTTCCAGGAACCCAAACCTGAAGAAATAGAAACTCAGAAGTTCCAGCAGGAAGAGGAAGGTAGAGTTATCATTTTTTTAATAATCTCTCATCAGTATACAAACATTGTATTGTCTGACCACATTAATAGAAGAGTACATTCCTTGAAAAATAATTTTTTAAAAATGTTTTACAATAGCCTGTTGTACATTAGATATTTTTAGCTCCGCTCTAAGGCCACCATCCAACCTTCCCTCATTGATCCTATGCTGGTCCTCTAGCATCCTGTAGTTTCTTGTTCATATCTCCCATTGGTTCTTAAGCTGATTTCTTACACGAGGGACAATTCCTCCTGTTTTTGCAATCCTTTCCCAACCAAATTTCTGACCTTCATTGCTGATATTGTAAATTCCTTCTTTTGTTCAAGTGTCATCCTTTTCCATGTAAAAACCTCACTGCTGTTTCCTTCTTCATTTCCAGTTACCATCCATCTGTAACCTCTTTTGTTATCATATAATATTCTTGAATATATTTTTATCTCAGTGTTTTGGAAACATTGAAACTTAAGAGCAGACATAGGCCATACCATTTGCCTTCTTTGTTGATTTCTCTCAAAGTCCCTTTTAAAATCCTTTATGCTGCATTTGCAGTATTCTGTTTAGTTCATAACATCAATACTATCCTGATCCTGATCCTGACCCTGACCCTGATCCATCTCTGAAAAGAACTCCACTGTGACTACAATCAGAAAGACCTATTGCTTCTTGACCTCTTTACACCTTGACATGACTAACCATTCTCCACCATCAACATTATGATTGTCCAACTATGTTGGATAATCTTTGGATGAATCACAACCAGTGGAACTGCAATAATTCCTCTCTTTCCAGCATTATCACCTCCAAAGTTCTTCCAGATCTCATCTGCTTGCCATCCGGTTCTTGGTGCTCTTTAGCAACATGATCTAAAGATTAACTTCCACATGCATGTACCTGAAATCCATTTGCATCTCACTATCATCTTCATCAAAGACTTCTGTACTGTGTCAGTCTGCACAGCTAGCACCTATTGATGTGTCGAAAATTGTTTTCAACTGACAACTTCTGTTTGTGACTCCTTAACAGCTTGTCAGTAATTCCATACCAGTTTCTGTCTCACCCACTTAATCAGAACTAGACTATGTAAAATCTTGAATTAGCATTTGACTATAACAAATCCTATTTATTAACAATATTGCTAATTTGTATCTCTGCAATGTGGTCTTTATTTACTGCTGTCTCATTCCAGTCGCTGCAAACTCTTTTTTTTATACTTGCTTTGCTCATCTACTTGTACTGTTTAATGTTCTCTTTAATACCTGTTCAGCCACCTTCAGTGATCTAGATGCAAATATATCCAGATCTCTCTCCTCCTGCACCACCCTAAGTGTTACATCCCTATTTTGTTGTCTGTCTATGTTCTTTCTATAAAATTGCATCACCTCCCACTTCTCCTCATTGGACATCATCTGTCACCTACCTGCTCCCTCCATGAACTTGTCTATATCCTTTTGAAATTCTACATTGTCCTCCAAGCTTCTAAGTTTAGTGTCACCTACAAACACTGAAATTGTTCTCTCTTGAGCAAGATCTCGATCATTAATATATATTAGGAAAAACAAGGATTTCAAACTAATCCCTGGGAACTCCATTACAAACCTTCCTTCAGCTCAGAAATATCTATTGACTACTACTCTCTGTTTTCTATCGCTCAGCTAATTTTGTATCTGTGTTGCTACTATCCCTTTTATTCCATGATCAAAACCTTTTCTCAAGTTAATTTTGTGGTACTGCATTGAATGTCTTTTGGAAGTTCATGTACGCTATATTAACAACAGGACCCTCATCTACACTTTCTGTTACCGCTTCGAATAAACTCCAGTGAGTTAGTCATTTTTCCGTGTAAGAGTCCATGCTAGCTCTTCCTAATCAATCCACCTTTTTCCATGTGACTACTAATTTTGAATAATGTTTTTAGGAGCTTCTCCAACACTGAAGTTAAACTGTTGTCTGTCTGTAATTGCTGGTATTATCCTTTCAAACCTTCTTGAATAAGAGTGTGCTGTCTGCAATTCTCCCAGTTTTCTGGCACCTCTCCTGAGTCTAGGGAAGACAGAAAGATTATGACCAGTACTCTGCAATTTCCCCATTTCACTTCCTTCCATATCCTTGGGTGCAGTATCTTATCAACTTAAACTATCAACAGCCTATGCAACACTTACTCCTCATTAATTTTGAATCTTGCTATTTAAAGTTCTATTGAGTCTTTTCCCCATGAAGTACAATTGCCATTGGAGTAATGACAAACTTCAGTGGTGGTTTATCTATAGTAACACAAACTGAATGATTGTGCTTTTCTTGCAATGTTTCTTGAACCTCTCTCCTGAAGGTGTTGAGTCCTTGCACTCCAGCCCTAGTTTGCCACTGACAACCAAAACAATGAGCTATCAATCAGCTATTGACAGAGGCACGGGGGATAATAGTCTGTTTCTGTCACTGACGTAGGCACTTTACAACATGAGAAACTGATAAACACTAAATGGAAAGAGCACTACTTCCCTTGCAGTGTTTGGGGTGCTATGGTCATCACGGATCCTCAACACTGGCTTGCTGGCAGTACCAAACTCCACATGGACCAGCAATAGATCCTGGAACTTTGTCAGTCCACATCATTTATTGATTTACTGAATATTCTTGTATCAAGGAAATGAAATTTTGTTTCTATTGACATATACAAATTCAGAAAATGGACAAAAGTGATTATAAAGAAAATGCTTCTGGCATTTTTGAAAAAAGAAGAGAAGACGGTTACGATTTTGGTTTTGTTCTTCCCTTGCTGTAAAATGTGACGATGAAATTGATAATGGATTTTCAATCTGATTGCCCCATAGCAAGTCTCGGAGCATTATGTAAAATGTGGAAAAGGAAACCACCTACTGAATTGCCACCAATGCACCACTTGCCCCCACCCCAACTTAGCTGATGCATTAGTACTTTTTTTTTTAAGTTGATTCATGGGATGGGTATTGTTGGCTGGCCAGCATTTATTGCCTGTCCTTGGTTGCCCTTGAGAAGGTGGTGGTGAGCTGCCTTCTTGAAGTGCTGGACACCTTGTGCTGTAGGTAGACCTTCAATGCCCTTAGATAGGGAATTCCATGATTTTCTCCCAGCAACAGTGAAAGAAGTCAGGATTGTGAGTGGCTTGGAGGGGATCTGCCAAGCGGTGATGTTCCCATGTACTTGCTGCCTTTGTCTTTTTAGATGGAAGTGATAATGGGTTTGGAAGATGCTGTTTGAGAAGCTTAGGTAAACGTCAGCAGTGCATCTTGTGGATAGTAGCAGCAGTGTGTACTAAGTATCAGTGGTGAAGGGACTGGATTTTATTGGATATGGTGCCATTCAAGTGGGCTGCTTTGACGTGGATGGTGTCAAGCTTCATGAGTGTTGTTGGAGCTGCATCCATCCAGGCAAGTGGGGAGTATTCCATCACACTCCTGACTTGTTCTTTGTAGATGGTGGACAGACTATGTAAAGTCAGGAGATGAGTTACTCGCTGCAGGATTCCTAGATCATATAGCCACAGTATTTATCTGCTAGGCCATTTCACTTTCTGGTCAATGATAACCCCCAGGATGTTGATAGTGGGGATTCAGTGATGGAAATGCTATTGAAAGTCAAGGGGTGATGACCTGTAACTGGAGATGGTCATTGCCTGGCATTTATGTGGTCCAAGTGTTACTTACCACTTTTCAGCCCAAGCCTGGATATTGGACTGAATTCATAGGATTAGACATTAGAAACAAAACATTCTGTTTTGTCCAAGCACAAAATCTTGTTTGGTTTAAAAGTACTGTAGTAATTCATTTGTAGCACTCGACTCAGCTCTGGTCTCTTCACGTGGTAGATTATATAATTTCTTTCGAACATGTTCAGAGGAGGATCACATTAAAGATTCCCAGGTTAAATAATTTAGTTTTCAGAATAAGCTTAAGGAGGTGACTCAATATGCTTTTGAGAAGTGTAAATTATGAATTACAAAGTTATTAAATGAGGTGAATACTGAAATTAGCTTTTGTTTTATACGGTTATGTTCATCATTTGCACAAGTGAAGAAATATGGTCGATGCTAAAATGTTCTTCTTCTCCCAATTATTAACAGATATGTGGAACAGTTTGCCAGCTTGTTTGCTGGTCCACTATGTACTTTCAATAGAGAACTGGCTGGTGCTTAACTATGATAGAAACTAAAGCATACATGACATAAGAACAAATGAATATGAACCATTGATGTTTGGCTTTCTAGATGAATATCGATCACATTTTCCAGATTTATTTCCCCCAATTGACCTTAGTTTTAAGGTTTGATTTGTTTTTGTTTGAAACATTTCTCCACGTGGCATTTTGGGAATAAGAATCTCCTGATATGAAGCATATGGTGCCATATCTAGGTGACTAGCCCGTATGGACCAGCTAATCTATTTCTAATTTATTAATGGGAAGGAAAGATTCAATTCCATTTTGATGTAGAAGCAAAAGATAGCTGATGTTAAAACTGAAGAATTCTTGCATCACGTGACTGTCCAAAGACTGTTTATAATTTTTCTGTCCCAAGTAGATGGAAAACAGATGATAACTGAGAGTGAAGAATTGAGCCATCAGGACATCTGTATTGAGATTCCAATTGAGAACTATGTTGGCCACTTCCTTCAGGATAAGAAAAAGTTGCTCCGTAAAATCATTTATGGGAAGTTTAATTGTATTGCAACGCTCTGTAAAAATGAAAATAAAGTATCAGTTCATATGGCAGAATCTTCTGCTGAAGATGTACCGACCGTTGAAGAGACATACTCTCCAATAAGCTCTTTTCCTACTGGAGTCAGATACCTGAAGACTCTACCAGGAGGGCTTCGTATTTATGTATGCTTAGATGATCTGACAAAACATGAGGTAGATGTTGTAGTGAACAGTGCCAATGAATATTTAAAACATGAGCATGGACTTGCTCGTGCTTTGGCAAGATCAGCCGGACAAACGTTTGAAATTGAGTGTGACAATATTGTACAACAACATGGGGCAGTGCCAGTTGGTTCTGCAGTCCGCACTGGGGCTGGAAAGCTCCCATGTAAAAAAGTCATCCATGCAGTGACACCTATCTGGAGTAAATATCCAAGTTCAGAAAATGATCGATTACTTTCTTATGCTGTCAGAAATAGCCTTGTGTTGGCAAATGAATTACAAATGACTTCAATTGCCATACCTGCACTGGGTTCTGGAAATGGTTTCCCATTACACAGGTGTGTGGAATTGATAGTAAGTACGGTTAAAGCTTTTCACGGAATATGGAATCCCAAAAATTCTTTAAAAGAGATCCATTTAGTAAACTTCAGTGAACCAACAACTACAGCAGTGGAAAATGCGTGTAAGAATATTCTTGGTGAAACAGAGCAAAAACGTTTGCTATGTATGGATTTTGTGCCAAATAGGATACGTGATGTATTTGAGTTTCAGAATCTTCACATAGAAATCAAGAAAGAAAGAATTGAAGAACAAAATGTATGTACAACTTAATTTCCTTTATTTAACATCTCGTCTTTTAGCTATGTTAAGACCAAAGAAGACCATAGGTTTATTTGGACAGGGAAAAATAATCTAATTATGTTTTTATTGTATGAAATGTTAAGATTTTAATCATCATGTTTAAGGACTTTTGCTCATTGGCCAAAATATGGGTATGAATTAATATCAAGGTGATGAAGTAAAATTTAGCTAAGGGATTAAATCTAAACAACAAAGCTTATTGCTGGGAATTTGGAATAAATCCACATGAAGCAGTTTAGAAAATAACAGCCCTTGAACATCAGATTATCTTGAGGCAGTAAAGTTCATTCTGCCAATTCAGCCAAGCATTGAAATTGCTTTATTCAATTGTCCCAGTGAGGCAAGCAGCCAGGACAGTGCATTTGATTGACATGTAAATCATTGACAGCTCACCAGAGTCTAGACATGGAGGTTTGCCCAGGAATCAGATATCAGGATTTGGGTTTTGTGGAAATCTGGCGAAGACAGATGCCATAGGAGAGAATTTTCTTCCCAAAGGTTAGTGCTGTAATTTCAGGGAATTGCTAGTCAGTAAAGTAAATTTAGTTCATTAGCAGGAACTGTATTGTAGAAAATTCTAATCCACTCATTGAGATTGTTGTGACACATGTCTGGGGTAGGTGGGACTTGAACCCAGATCTTTTGCCCCAGAGATAAAGTCACTACCACTGTACTTCAAGAGTTCTCTAAGAGTGGTATTGCATACGTTGTGTTCTTTGTTTTCTCTAAGCACTATCTCAATTATCCAGCATTGCTGAGCCATGTCTTAAGCTGTGATTTTACGCTGCAACAGGATGTGGAGACAGGCCCAAGTTAGTCCTGGGATTGAATCCTACGCTAGATGTCCAGCAACTGACCCAACCAATGCCCCCATATTTTGTGTTAATATAGATTATAAATTGATGTATTGCCAGTGGCAAAGGGACTTAAGACTTCTGATTTTAGCAGGATCTTCAGGTCTTAAATAGATTTCTGTCTTTTGAGCTGTCAGCAATGGTTCTAGGCAGTTAAAAAGACCAATGGGTGAAGTGTGCATGCTTCACCCACCAGTAGCTTAAATAAATCTACCCTTGAAACCGATCCCAATATCCATGTAAAGGAGGCAAGTACCCAATCTGGCTTGGTGAAAGTCCTCTAGAAAATGGTGGTGTTGGAATGGGAATGATAATTTTCAAATTATTTTTTAAAATTCCTTACATGGTTTTCAGGGAATATACTAATTGAATGCAATCTGTTTATAGTTGCAGAACTGCTGGATTTAATGCTAGCATTGCCCTGTCCTAATCACTTCTGCTTTCCATCTTATTTATGACAAATAATAAATGTATTTTAGTTGCACTGTTAGGATTAGAATTTCATTTCTAAAGTAGCTTCTATAGATAATAATGATGCAATGGCCTGGAAATTCAGTCACATGGCACCCATTTGTCAAGTGTTAACTAACCTATTCAAGTCTCAATGAAAGGCAGGAATCACATGTGCAAATTCTACACTGAATTGTATCACTTGCCAAATTCAGAGAAGTGGATACACCAGTATTAGGAGCAAATATTAGAACTCCTTTAAGAAAGGCAGAGCCTTGTAGAGGTATGAGATATGTGGTAGAATTGGACAATAAATCTGGCAAGGCCCATCTTGATATCGAGATCATCTTGCTTCATTCTTTAGCTTTTTACAATTTACATGGCAGGGTTCTCACCAGACTGCTGAGAGTTGCCAGTTTATGATGGTTAACACTTGTTAAGACCCTTGTTGATGACCCAATTTGCTTCTTTAATATCCTGTTTCCAATCTTACCAAACTCACTCAACAACCTAGCCATCGGATAAACCTGACCTGGTGAGTTCAGCTTGCCACATCTAAGGAATGACCTTGATTTTGCTAATGATTAAACAGTAGCCCAGGGCATGATCCATGGGCAAGAGCTGCAAGTATCCTTGCACTACAGACATTGGCATCTGAGAATGAATCCTTACCATTATCCTAGCACCTCTCTGAAGCACTGGCAGTGTGCTGTGAAAGCCTAGACCTGCCTAGCAGGGCACACTGTCAAACAGCAGTACATGGCTGCATTGGGTATATTACTGCATCACTTCGACCAGGCTACCTATCTCGCTTCTGTCTTAGCGCATGTTCACCCAGTACCTACTGGTGTGCCGACAACATTCATGCTTTGCCAGTTATTACTGTCATACGACCAGGAAGCTCTCCATGTTGATTAGTAGTCCTCAGTTAAGGACATATACGTCTTGTTGTATGGCAGTGTGTCATGTCAGTTCCATATGGCAGCGGTGTTTGCACCAAACACACAGCTTCTGCAGCAAGCCACATCCTAAAGATTTCAAGGATTAGTTCTCAGTGAAGTCAGTGGGAACACTCATCACTCGGCAGGTTCTGGCATGGTTAGTCTAGGGCAACCTTCCATACCAGTCCAGAATTTTGGCCATGATTGGGCTTCCAGTCATAGAATCCCTACAGTGCGGATTCAGGCCATTTGGCCCATTGAGTCTGCACTGACCCTACAAACAGCATCCTACCCAGACCTAGCCATATTTCCCATGGCCAACCCATCCAGCCTGCACATCCCTGGACACCATGGGGCAATTTAGCATGGCCAGTTCAGCTCACCTGCACATCCTTGGACTGTGGAAGGGACCCGGAGGAAACCCATGCAGACATGTGGGGAACATGTGAACTCCGCACGGATAGTCACTGGGACCCTGGCGCTGAGACAGCAGTGCTAATCAGTGAGCTATGTGCCACCTATCAGGTGGCTTTGAACAGAGTGCCAATGCCTCTGCACTCCAGGGAGTGGGTCACAGTCAGATCTTTGTTTCCGTAGAGTTCAGATCAGAGTGGAGGATTCACCCCCTGGTTAATGTGAGTGTTGCAGTAGAACGCTAAGTGGTACTTACTCAGTTGGCAGGGCATGGCTGTCTTTGCATTCCCACAGATGTGGTCTAGGTCTTTTCCTGTGGAGGCAAGGATTCCATCCTCATAGGAGGTGAGGACAAGGATAGCAGGCATCACCATCCCCAATCCCACCCCTTGCCACCTGTATGATGCCACTGTACCTGTTATTGGAATGTCTTCTGTAATGACAAAAAGGGTATGAATGAGTAAGATGCAAATTGGTAGCATAGCTGTTTTGGCTGATACATGTGGAGCAAAGGTGTTAAGATGTTCAGAGGGGAGTGAGGAGGCAGCATGGAGAGCATGCAGGGTTAGTGGTGTAGAGAGGTTGGGATGTGGGTAACGACAGTAAATAAGGGGAGGTGTTGCATGCAACAGTAATGGTGGCTGAGCATGGGAGGTGGTATGGTGCCAGGGATAGAGTGAATGTGAGGTCTTCGATAGCAGAGTGTGGCATTCACCCTGGCTGAATGAAGAAGGTGATTGGCCACCTTTCTACACTGCAGCCCAGTCCTCTGTATCCTGTAGGCAGCACCAATCCATGTGGCAATCTTCTACCAGGCTGGCATTGTCTGGCACTATTCCCTCCTTAGTTGTTCCACCGGGAAGAAGAATCCTCCAGATTAGCACCCCCACCACCACCCCCCGCCCCACCCCCTGCAGACTCCTATCAGAGAAATGTAATGCCAGCTTCCCCTTCTCAGCCATCTTCCTCAGGCTCCTAAACTGAGCAGGGCAGCTGCCAGATGTCAGGCTGCTAGGTACACAGTGGCTTTTAAGCATGCCAGGGATACAAGGGATGCTTGTCTCTGGGCAGATGTTGCTGAGTGGTGAGTTCTTCTGGGAATAGTGTTTAGTAAGATGGTGCAGAAAGCAGATGTGATACAAGCTGCAAGGGTCGGAATGGCAATGAATGTGGCAAATTTGGTAAGGTAAAGCAAGAAAACTCACTTGTCCTTCCTCCAACAAATGATGAGACTCACGCTATGTCAATAAAACAAACTTCAGCCCAAAACTTTGCATTTATCTCATGCCTTTCATGACTTTGTGATCCCTCAAAACACTTTAGTCAATTAATCGATTCTAGATCGTGATTGTCACATAGGAATGTAAAGGGAAGAATATTTTATGTCAATTGATGTCCAGCAAAGGTCTGTGGTGCAACAATTGTTGGAGAGTGATATTAAGTGGGATTGGGTGTGATGGGAAGGGAAGTCTTCTGCTTAATTAAGCAGTGATGGAACTGTGAACTGAGTAAGAGAATATTCATACCTTAACAACGCTGGCAAGATAGAGAATTTATTCCAGCTGTGTAGCCACCTTAAATACTTATCTTCTGACACTCTCATACTTTTTTCCTACTGATGGTGGACTTGATGGCTCATGTACTTACTGCCCTGGAGGGAAGACATTATCAATCTGCCATCCACTGCCAGTGCCATGTCCTTCAAAGCATTGTTCTGCAACTTAGTGCTGTCACAGAATGTGCTTCACCTATATGTCTCCTTCTAAATGTTTTTTTTTCTGAACTCTGCAGCTAGGGAGTCATTGGCATGTGGCACGTGGAATTGAGGCCACAATCAGATCAACCATGAGATTATTGAATGACAGAGCAGTTGGACAGGGCTAATTGATCTACTCCTGTTCCTAATTTGTATGTTCTTATGTAGAATGCTCCTCCTTTAAAAAGGTTCAGGCTGCCTTTAGGTATATCTTCTATCCCACAAGCATGCATTAATGAGTAACATGGCAAATTTACAGTTGTAATCAGGTAAAAATGAATTTTGTGCATCACTTAAATAAATTTCAGTTGGGTGGGGGAGTGGGTGAATTTGGGGGGTGAGTTAACTCCTTGAGGCTGAATCAATTTGCAGTTGGATTTCTAGGCTATCATTCTTAATTACGGTTGAATTTTTGTGTTTTTATAATGTCATATTATAATGTTAATACTCATAAATATCTACTCAAGTTTAATCTGAATTGGATGAAAAACCCAAAGATTTAAAAGAAGTTATTTTTTGTCTTAAAACAGACTGACGTGATTGTGAGTGCAATATCTAGGGATCTAAATTTGAATTTGGGTAAGATTTCTAAAGCAATTTCAGAATTAGCTGGTCCAGAACTTCAAAAAGAACTTCATAGAATTAAAAAGACAGAACTACTAGCTTTTGGAGATATATTAAAAACATCAGGATATCGTTTGAGCTGTGAATATGTATACCACGTAGCATATGCTCCTGGTTCATACTTTGATTCGGAAAAGGTAAGCATAATTTTAAATACTTTAATACAATTTATGAAGGGGAGTACTGCTGAACAAAGGGACGTTGGAGTGCAGGTTCATAGTTCCTTGGAAGTGGAGTCGCAGGTAGATAGGATAGTGAAGAAAACATTTGGAATGCTTACTTTTATTGATCAGTGTATTGAATAGCGATGTTGGGAGGTCATGTTGAGGCTGTACAGGACATTGGTTTGGCCACTTTTGGAGTACTTAATGCAATTCTGGTTTCCCTCCTATAGGAAGAATGTTGTGAAACTTGAAAGGATTCAGAAAAGATTTACGAGGATGTTGCCAGGATTAGAGGGTTCGAGCTATAGGGAGAGGCTGAATAGGCTGGGCAATTTTCCCTGGTGTGTTGGAGGGTGAGGGGTGACCTTATAGACGTTTACAAAATAATGAGGCATGGATGGGGTAAATATGCGAGGTGTTTTCCCCAGGGTGGGGGAGTCCAAAACTAGAGGGCATAGGTTTAAGGTGAGAGGGGAAAGATATAAAAGGGACCTAAGGAGCAACATTTTCACCGAGAGGGTGGTGCATGTATGGAATGAGCTGCCAGAGGAAGTGGTAGAGGCTGGTACAATTACAACATTTAAAAAGCATCTGAATGGGCATATGAATAGGAAGGGTTTAGAGGGATATGGGCCAAATACTGGCAAATAGGACTGGATTTATACAGGATATCTGGTTGGCATGGTAAAGTTGCACTGAAGGGGCTGTTTCTGTGCTGTATATCTTTATGATTCTAAGTTATTTGCTGAATCCTATTTGGGATATTGTTCTTTATTTTCTCTAATAGCTGTTAAAGAAGGTTATTACAAATTGTATTGAGCTTACAAAAGAAGATAAGACTCGTTCAATTTCAATTCCTGTGACCAGTGATGTAACACAAACACTCAGTTCAAAGAAGATGGCAAAAATTCTTCTTGAAGAAATACTCAATCATGTGGAAGGCAGTGATGACTTCAAAATTAACACTATTTACATTGTGCTTCATCCAGCAGAAACAGATGTTTATGAGGTAATGGAGTAACAAGTCATTCTGAGAATATAAGTTTAAAATTAATTTTGAAAGTTAATTAACTCTTCTCTTACATTGCTAACTGTCATGTAATTGTTTATAAAATACAATAAGAAATGCATAATCTATTAAGTAGCCAACCTGCAACAGAGGTTCTCTTGTTCAAAAATTATACACCCATTTGGGAGAATTGGTATACATTGTGCTTGTTTATGGCAGGCAGAGGCGTTGGCATGGTGGTGTAGTTATTGGGCTAGCTGGACCATGTATGTCACAACCTTTTCAAGGGCAGCTAGGGATGGGCACAGATACCCACGTCCTATGACTGAATACAAAAGAAGAATGCACTCTTTATTGTCCCACCAGCACAGGGGTCACAACATAAGTTGATGTGCTGTGTGGTTGCTAAAACAGCTAATTGTATGATTCAGAATAGAAAGAGGCATTGACTAAGTTTTGTTAGTAACAAGAATTATCAATTTATTCATCAAAAAAATCCATGATGACAAACTGGGTATCATGAACTGTACATGTTATGCTAGTATAAATATTTGCCTCTGGAAATAAGCCAACAAGCATGTATGCACCAGCTAAAGAAAAAAGAACAATGATCCTGCCGAGATAATTTTGGAAGAAACATGTTTTCGCCAACAATTGTTGAAAGCAAAAAAGATATGGTCTAGAATGTTCAAATGCCATTCTGGCACATGTGGACAGGTTATTAAATACACACATAGTCTCCAAAAATCCTAGAGACAGCTATGTAATTCAGGAAATATTGAGACAAACGCCTTCACATTTCTTCTGATAGTAGTTGGATCAGTATACCACACTGGAGATACAACCAGGGATTTTTTTTTTCATAAACCGGAGAGCTAGAAAGCTTCTTCAGCAGACTGACTCCACTGCTTTGAAAACACTGTTCACATGGAAATCAGATCTCCAACAGCCATAAAACCCAGACTGATGAGGTGGAGGTTCTGCAAACTCAAAGCAGGAGCAGTGTTGCTAGATACAGCAGCCTCAAGATTATAGTACAGACACTCAGAGCCCAGAGAATCCATGGTAGGTTGAAGCCATGAAATAACAATAATGTAATATGTCTATGGGTGTTGCACAGTCCATGGATACAGCTGTAGCAGCATGAAATATGCCAGCATTAATATTTATTCAAAATGCTCTATTTGTTCAAGTTCACTATTTCTAAACTCTCAAAATTACAAATGACAAATATTTGACTGTTATATTGCTTTAACATAACAGACCAAGAGCAAAGAAAATTACAACACAGAATCAGGCCTGTCAGCCCTCCATGCCTCCACCGACACACTGGCTGTCACAACTAAATCCCCCTACCCTTCTGGGGACCGTATTCCCATCCTATTCATGTATTTGTCAAAGTGCCCTTTAAAAGGCACTATTGTATCTGCTTCCACTACCTCCCTCAGCAGTGAGTTCCAGGCACCCATCACCATCCGTGTAAAAAAACATGCCTCGTACATCAGCTTTAAACCTTGCCCCTTGTACCTTAAACCTATGGCCCATAGTTATTGACCCTTCCACCTTGGGAAAAGGCTTCTGATTGTCCACTCTGTCCACACCCTTCATAATCTTGTCGACCTCTATCAGGTCGCCCCTCAACCTCCATCGTTCCAGTGAGAACAACCCAAGTTTCTCCAACGTCTCCTCATAACTAATGCCCTCCATACCAGGCAACATCCTGGTAAATCTTTTCTGTACCCTCTCCAAAGCCACCATGTCCTTCTGGTAGTGTGGCAACCAGAATTGAACACGATACTCCAAATGCGGCCGAACTAAGGTTGCAGCTTTAAAGAACATTACCTGCCAATTTTTAAACTCGATGCCCCAGCCGATGAAGGCAAGCATGCCATATGCCTTGTTGACTACCTTTTCCACCTGTGTTGCCACTTTCAGTGACCTGTGTACCTGTACACCCAGATCCCTCTGCCTCTCAGTACTCTTAAGGGTTCTGCCATTTGCTGTATATTTTCCATCTGGATTAGACCTTCCAAAATACATTACCTAACATTTTTCTGGATTAAACTCCATCTGCCATCTCTCTGCCCAAGTCACCAACCAATCTATATCCAGATGTATCCTTTGATGGTCCTCATCGCTATCCACAATTCCACCAACCTTTGTGTCAACAGCAAACTTACTAATCAGACCAGTTACATTTTCCTCCACATCATTCATATATATTACAAATAGCAAAGTTCCCAACACTGATCCCTGAGGAACTCCACTAGTCACAGACCTCCATTCAGAAATGCACCCTTTCACTGCTACCCTCTGACTTCTATGACCAAGCCAGTTTTTTAACCATCTTGCAAGCTCACCTTTGACCCCATGCAACTTTACCTTCTGTATCAGCCGGCCAGCTTCTGAGTGTACCTTACAATCTTTCTCGAGTTAAATGATCACCTATAGAAAAGATATGAGATTAAACCCTAATCGTTGTAATTTACAGGTAACTTTTAAAGTAAAGCCTTGAAGAATATGCTTATGAGAGTTTATAGATTTAATATAATTCAATTGTCAAATGGTACAAATTTTAAAGCATTTTCAAAATTCTATCATGGCATGTGATGTCATTGACTAGCCAATGTAATTGACTATCCCTAATTGCCCTTGAGAGGCTGGCAGTCTGCTGCCTTTTCTAACTACCGCAGACCTGTAAAGGTACAGCCATATTGGGAAGGGAGTTCTGTTGATTTTAGCCCAGTGATGGTGAAGAATTGCTGATGTTGTTCCAAGCCAGCCATTCTTCAGTGTGTTACTATTCCAGTTAATGTTTCTGCTTTACACTGCTGTGAATTTATTATTTTCTGAATTTAAAAATGTTCACTTTTTAGCTTTAACATGTTATAGTCTTGGATCAGTTAAAGTACATGATTTTAACCATTGTCAGTTCTGTTCTTATTGTGTATTGTAAATCTAATTGCAGATAAAATTGTCATTGTAGAACCATTGTGTGCTAACAAAACAGTTGTGATAGTGACAATATATCTGTATGTTTGCAACTAGGCATTTTTGCAGGAATTGAATAGACTAAAACATTTATCTCGACAAAGCCATAGGCTCGCATCAATAATTGGTAAGTTAGCAAAATAAGAAAAGCTACAGATTATAGGACTTAATCAGTGTTTTTACGACAGAAATTCCGCATGTTTAAAGTATCCATTAACATTAATTATTTTCCAAAACTTTAGAAAGTAACTCTGCAGTCTTTGCCCAGTTTACGTTGCGAGCAATTTGCATGAGGTTGCAGCATTCACAGACACTGATGAAGATCTATTCAGATTAGCAGAAGTGAAAGAGCTTTGCTGTTCTGTATCGAACAGCTGTGAACACTTGTGGATTTCAGAAATCTGTGTACTGCCCTCGAGAAGCAGCAAAAGTGCGAGCGATGCAGTTTATTTCACTTTCACATTCTTTTTGATGGTGAAGCAACTGAGCAGATGGGTGTTCTTTTGACAGAACCTTGATCAAAAAATGACCAAAGATTGCTATCAATATTGTTGTATGCCTGTTTCTGTAGAACCTTCCTTCTTTCCTAAATGAACCTTCTTTTGGACAACATTCACGGCAGAATTTTCCTATTGTTTGGCAGTATTTTATTGAGTGGGATTGATGGTGATCAGTCCACCATGGCCCATGTTCGCTTTTCTCACCACAGTCTTCCATTCTTCATCTCCGTTAAGTCTGCAACTGGCTTCTTTAGTGTTGTTAGCATCATTTTTATCCTCCAGCCCGACAACATGTCAAGTGCTGCAAGCCAGGAACTGGCCTTCACACTCTGCTGCTCCACACTTGTCACTGACGATATAGTCCAGAAAGGGGATGCTTGAAAATGTGGTGATGTAAAGGACAGCAGTGCTGGTTCTTGCTGGCTGGCAAAGGAGGTCAAGCCAGCAGTCTCAGCCAGCCTGTGCCCAAGATAGTGACCCTAGTTAGTTCAGTGACACAGGTGAAAAGCAATGCAAAGCGGTGTAGGGAGAAGATTAATGGTTTATTACATTCTGCAAAGCTAAGTGCTACCATCTTCTCTCTACTACTTCATATGCACAGGTCTACCAATCACTAACTCTGCCACAACATACATCTGTCACTGAGGCTGCAAACAACAACTCTCACCATTTCATGCATCTTGTCCACTCAACAGGTCTCACCCACCTCATCTTCCCAAACTGGCCCCTCCTATCTTTATTAATTTCTACTCATTCACTGGAAAGACCTTATCTGCATCAGAAATAATTGCTTTTCCATCCATTGTATTGTATTCAGTCCCTCCCTTTCTCTTATTGCACAAAAAGTTGTCCCACTCTCCAGACTGATATCTCCACAAGCACCCCAGTGATGTATCTGTAAATCCCCAAACTGGTTGTACCTTACCTGCAGGATTGACGTAGCCAAACCGCTGGACTGAAGTCAGACAAGCTCCTTTATTACCTGTGGTAGTACCTCTTAGTGACCAAAGTAGCTCTGACCCTACTAAGGATGGTTCCCCTTCTGGTTTTCACACATGGCTATTTGGTTGAAGTGCATGCAGTGTGTTTGCTGCAAAAGCCACAGACAGAGTCATAGAGTCACACAGCATAGAAACAGGCCCTTCAGCCCGCCACATCTATGCTGAGCGGTAAACACCAAACCACACTAATCTCCTGATGTGCACTTAGTCTGTGGCCTATTATACCCAGGTATTTTAGGTATTTTACGTGTTGCAAGGATACTTGCCTCCATTTCTCAGGCAGCATGTTCCAAGGATCCACTATCCTCAGGGTGAAAAAATGCTTCGTAACGTCTCCTCTAAGCTGTTTGCTCCTCACCTTAAACTTATGCTATGTGGTCTCAGACACGTCTGCCAAAGGGAAGAGAATCTCTCAATCTGCTCCGTCTGTGCCCTTCGAAATTTTGTATACCTCAATCAGATTTCCCACTTAGCCTCCCCTGCTTCAAGGAAAACAAACTCAGACTGTCCACCCTCTCCTCATAACTGAGGCATTTCATCCCAAGAAATATCTTGGTGAATCTCCTCCACACCCTGTCAAATGCAATCACATCTGTCTGATAGTGTGGTGATCGGAACTACACACAGTATTTCATCTGTGGCCTAGCCAATGTTTTACAAAGTTGTAACAAGATTTCCTTGCTCTCATATTCCACACCCTGGTTAAAGATGACAAACACCTTGTCTGCCTGTGCTGATATCTTCAGGGATCTATGGACTTGTATACAAAGTCCCTTTATTTCTCAGTACGTCCTAGAAATGTAAAGTTCATTGTGTGTATCCTTTCCTTATTAGACCTACAAAATTGCATCATCTCACACTTACTAGGATTAAATTCTGTCTGCTATTGCATTACTGAATTACCACCTGGTCAATTTCAGACTGTAGCCTAAGACCATCGTCCTCACTATCAACAACACCACTAATTTTTGTATCATCTGCAAACTTACCAATTATACTCTACATTCCCATCCAAGTCATTAGTGCACATAAGAAACAGCAAGGATCCCAACACCAATCCCTGTGGTACACCACTGGAAGCCTGTGACCAATCACGAAGGCCAGCCTTCTTCATCACCTGTTGCCTCCGATTTGGAAGCCAGTTTTGGATCCAGTTTGCCAACTTGCCTTGGATCCGAAGGGCTTACTTTTTGGACCAGCCTTCCGTGTACGACCTTGTCAAAGGCCTTACCAAAACCTATGTAAATCATATCAATTGCACTACCCTCATCAATATATTTAGTCACCTTTTCAAAAAAAACCTAACTGAATTAGTCAGACAGGATGTCTAACAAATCCGTGCTGATTATCCCTGATCAGTCCCTGTATTTCCAAGTATTGATTAATCCTGTCTTTCAGAATTAAATGTTGTAGCTGGGACACTGACATAGCATGTGCAGTACAGCAACATGTCCACCTGCCTAACTGTTCAGTGCTCTGAGCCCTGACAATCTGCTGCCCCTCCCATTGTGCCAAAAAGCAATTCAGGCCACAGAAGCTGGCAGCCTCTGATTAAGTGCAAACTGAGTGAACACTTAGAATTGAAGTGAAGAGCCATAAGATGCATCCTATGTACAAATGTACAAGATCTTCATTAGGTGGAAAGTAACCTGTTTGGCCCTAAAGCCTACTCCACCATTCATTATGATCATGGCTGATCTGTCTTTGTATAAAACTCTACATTTCGAATTATCACCATCTGAATATTTTGATTTTTTTAAAAAAAAATGTAAACGATTTTCCCTAATCAACCTCTTCAGAGATGTTATTACACAGCACTGGAGCATATGGGACTTGAACTCTCTTTTCATATTTTAAACACCATGATCGTATCACCACTTAACCATGTATACCAAAGGAACACCAGTCAGTTTATGCAAGCACGGCTCTCAATTTCACTTCTTGACACTGAAATCATTCTATTAAATCTGTGCAGTCCTCTTTTCAAGGTCAAATGTATTCCACCTGAGTCATAGCACCCACAATTGAATGCAATGACATCTGTACACAGTACTACAAAACCAAGATTAACTTCCTTCTCCTTCAGATAAAGGCCAATATTCTATTAGCCTTTGAAATTGCTTTATTCACATTGTGAGAAGGACTTCAGGTTTGTTGTGTTATCCCAAAACTATTGGGTATGAAACTAATGCCATTTCATAGTAATACAAATCAATTGGACAGCTTTAATCTTTTTGGTTTGGAATGCTCAAAAATAAAACAATTTACAAGAAATAAACTGTAAAGTTTGACATTTTTTTGATAACTGTGTCAATTGTATATGTGGTGGTTGCAGCCTTTTGTTGCATAGCATGACAGTTTCTGACATGATAAGCGTCTTACGGTGTGGCTCAGAAGCCTCACCTTAGCATGGCTATTTCTGCTCCTAAGAAAATGCACAACTTGCTGGCCTCTGTTTTCTCTGGCCTCCCTTCTCAGCCGTTATCACATTACTGTCGCTTTACTGGTTCATGTGTCTATTATATGGTAAAGGCAGTAAAAAAACAATTTGCATTAAATTGCATCTTTAACATAGTAAAATGTGTCAAGATGCTTTGCAGGGGTGTTATTCAATAGAACATGATGTTGAGCCACATGGGATATAATGACAGGTAACTGCTTGCCCAAAGAAGTAGGTTCTGAAAAACGTCCTGCAGAAGGAAATAAAATCTTTGGTGGGAATGCCAGAGCATAGGGGCTAGGGAGTTACAGACACCACAATCAATGGTGGAACAATTTAAAATCCCAGATGCCCAAGAATTTTGAACTGGAGGAGCACAAAAATATTGAAAGATGGTAGGAGTGGGTAAAACAATGTTGGCATTTGAAAATCAGGATGAAAATTTTAAATAAGATGTTGCCAGACCAGGGCCAACGTAGGTTGGCAAGTAAAGTGGCACAAGTACCTTCAGCTGAATTTGAATAACCTCAAATTTAAAAAAGGTGGAAGATGGGAGACTGACCATTAGAGCATTGGAATAGTCAATTTTAGAAACAAATAAGTTATATGGAGAGTTTCAGTAACAGTAGAGTCAGGAATGAAGTCAGGCGATGCTTATTTTTATTCCATAACAATATGGTGGTGGCACCTATATGTGGTGGAAAACCTATACTCAAATTGTATATGAGACCTACATTGTAAACAGTCTAGGAGCAAATTACTGCTGATGCTGGAGATCACAGCAGGTCAGACAGCATCCATGGAGAGACAGCAAGCTAGCATTTTGAGTCTAGATGACTCTTCTTCAGAGCTGAAGTGAAGTGTGGAGGGGGAGAGGCATTTATGCTGCAGTTGGGGGTTCGGGCAGTGGTGGTGAGTGTAGAGTGCTGGTGAAGGAAAGATGTTGATGTTTCAGATTAATTGATCGGAATGTGAGAATTGTAGAACAATGGTGTGCCTGCCAGTCTCAAAAGAGAAGACAGTTCCACTGGGGTGGGGGGAGGGGAGAGAAAACATGGTGACAGAGAATGTAACAAGTAAAGCGAAAATAAAGGGAAGAAATGGGAGTTGGTTCACAATTTGAACTCAACGTTAAGTCTAGAAGGCTTTAAAGTGCCTAGTCTGAAGATGAGATGTTGTTCCTCTAGTTTGTGCTGTGATTCACAACAGTCTAGTTGAGTTCTAGGTAGCTGACAGGGAGAACAGTAGAGTTGTTGGTTATGTGAATGCTGATAACTTCAATTGTGGTTACTGCCATAACAATAGGGTTATTAATCTTATACTGAACTTGCACGTAATTCAAGCTCAACTGGTTCATTCAACATTGTTTTAATATTGATTGGCAGAACAGTGTTAGAATCTTATCTTGGCTAGAGACACACTGTGTATCTTTCAGGAGTGTCGATATTACGTTATCAAATGGAGGACTGCTAATATTGTACCATTATTGAAGAGTGGTAGGGATAAGTCAGGGAATATAGGCCAGTGAATCTAATATAAGTGATTGTTTTCCTCAAGTTTCTCATTCTCAGGGACAGAGTTAATTTCTATTTGGAAGGACAAGAATTAATCAAAGATAATCAGGATGGCAATCACTTCTGACAGGTTGAATTTTTTGATAGGATGACTAGTTGTGTAGATGAAGGTAGTGTAATGGATATAGTCTGCATGGTGTTAGTAAGGCTTTTGACAAGGTCTCAGAGGAGACACTAGTTTGGAAGTTAAGATCCCATGGGATCCATGGAAATTTAGCAAATTGATTCAAAGTTGACCTAGTGGCGGGAAGCAGAGAGTAATGGTTGAAAGTTGTTCTCTTGACTAGTAACTTGTGTTAGTTGGTTTACCACAGGGTTCAGTGGTGGGTCACTTGCTGTTTATAGTGTACATTAATGAGCTAAACACTAAGGTAGAAGGCTTGATCGGTAAATTCAAAGGTGACAAAAAGATTAGTGGTCTGGTAAATAGTGAGGATGAAAGCCTTAGACAACATAATAATGTCGACGGGTTGGTCAGATGGATGGAACAATAGCAAATGGAATTTGTGAGGTGATGCTTTTTGGGACGACTAACGAGGTGAAGGGGTACACGATGAATGGTAATCCGCTAGAAAGTACAGAAGATCAGAGACACATCAACGTGCATGTCTATAGATCCTTGATGCAACAGGACAGGTGCATAAGATGGTTAAGAAGGCAATTATTAGTAAAGGCATGGAATACAAAAGCAGGGATGTTATGATGGAGCAGCATAAATGCTATTTAGGCCTAGCTGGAGTACTGTTTGCAGTTCTGGTCAATGCACTATAGGAAGAATGTGATTGTACTGGAGAGGATGCAGAGGAGATTCACCAGGATTCACCATCTGTGGGCTGGACCTATGAAGACAGACTAGATAGGTTGGCAGTTCTGAGGAAGGGTCACTCCACCTGAAATGTTAATACTGAGCTTTTTCCAGTAATTTCTGTTTTTTTGTTTCTAGATAGGCTGGGGTTGTTTTACCTTTGACAGAGAAGGCTGTGAGGAGTATTGATTGAGGTGTTCAAAATGATAAGAGTCATAGATAGGGGAAGTAATAAGAACCTTTTCCCCTTAGTCTTGCAGCAATAACCAGGGAATGAAGACTTAAGGTAAAAGGCAGGAGGTTTAGGGAGATTTAATGAAGAATTTTATCACACAAAGCATAGCGGATATCTGGAACTCACTGCCTGAAAGTGTAGTAGAGACATGAACCATCACAATATTTAAGGAGTATTTAGATGAACACTTGAAATGCCAATACATACAAGGCTGTGGGCCAATGCTGGAAAATGACCGGGGTGGACATGATGGGCTGAAGGAAAATTCTGTGATGAATTACAAGTTATTTACAATGATGAATGCTACAAAGAAGACCAGTTTTCCTATGTTGGGTAACTGTGTCTCCTCAATAAAAACATTTTTCTCAACCATGTGATGTTCACCATTTAACTTTGAGTACATCAAAAGAAAACTTCAGCATTCTTTGTAAGCTTCCCTTTTTCACAAGCAGCATGGACAAGATTCCCCCATACCCTTGCTTGACATGCTATTTGCTAGAACGTTAGCACAAAGCCTGTTAGGATACCTGTCCAATTTATCCACTTTTATAATATCATAATACTAGGAAATTAAGTTTATGGTGATTGACAAGGACAATGACTTTTGGCCTTTTCAGTATTTAGCTGGGGGAAATTTCTGCTCATTCAGTACCCAGATGTCAAATTAGAAGTTTAAAAGATCAAAGGCAAAGTAAGATCAAAGAAGGTGAAGTGATGAAATTCTGTCTTGATGGAATGTAACTACCTCATCGCAAATGCCCCCACCCCAGTCCAGCTCAGATACCATTTTGTCAATTGAGTGGAAGATTGCCTGTGGCTATGAAGATGTACAACACATAGATGAGAGTTACCTCAAATTAGGAAGCTGAAGTATTTGGGATTTTGTAAAGAAGACTTTAAAAGAACCAAAACAAGGTTCAGTCTTGAAAATTTAATTTGATTTTGGGAAATGTGTGCAGTAAATAAGCCAATGCACAGGAAAGATTTAGTGCAGGAGTTAGCAATTATTTTGCCTTTCTTTCATTAACATTATGAGAATTTTGAAAGTTTTTATCTAAGTAAAGCAATGTAGAATGTTAAATGTTCACAGAAATAATATATAAAATAGGAATCCTTCAAATCAAATGCTGCACAATTACAAGTCAAAAACAATTCTGCTTTTTTAATGAGATAGTAGGAACTGCTGATGCTGGAGAATCTGAGATAACAAGGTATAGAGCTGGATGAACACAGCAGGCCAAGCAGCATCAGAGGTGCAGGAAAGCTGCCATTTCGGGTCTGGACCCTTCTTTTTTAATGTTGTCTGCTGTTGTTTATATAGATTCAATACCTTTCAAACTTGAGGAGGAGGAAGGAACTGAAATGCTCATCAAAGTTTGTGGTAGAGATTATCCCTTTCTGGAATGTGCCCAGTTTTGGATCACTAATTTCCTTCTGACACCTGAAGAACACCTCACCATAGAAAATAAAAGCATCAATTACTTTACAGTAGCTGAAAATGAAACTTTATTGGACCTTAAAGAAAAGAACCAGATAAACATGAAAGAAACAGTGAATGAAATGGGGTCATTCATTGAGCTAAATGGACCTCACTTCCACATTTTAGAAGTGGCACTTCATGTTGAAAAGATATTTTGTGATTTACAGGAAGAAATAGCACATGTGATAGAAAGTGAACTTGTGCAATTCCATGTGCAGTGGATCTATATAAGCAAGGATCAGAAAAATAAATATGAACCTAATGAAAACTTCATTCTAGAAATGGCCTTCCTGGACAAAAAAATTTTTGAGAGTATTGAAGTGAGTGGTACGGAGCAGACGGTGTATTTTCAACAATTTATGGCATTGAACGATCAAAGGGAACAATTTAAAATTGAAAGAGTCAGTGAGTAAAATATGAACTTTTTTTCCCCACAACTTAGCTTGACATCTTTAACTCTTTCACCTTTTGAACTCCAATTTCTTAGATTGCTTTGTGTTTTAATAATATAATTGAGTGTGGATTTGTGGCCAAGTCACTGAATCAATGAGTAATACAACACAGAAGGCCACTCAACCCAGCCTGCTAACACCTGACGTTTGGTAAATCCACTCATCTCCCTTCCTCATGATCCCCTGAGATTGTCATTCCAGGTCACAACAATGTAATGTGTTTAAAAATACAGCTGATGTTGCTTATCTTTTATTTGCCAATCACCTTCAATCTGTGTCGTCTGGTTATCGATGCTTGTGATATTGGAAAGATTTTTTTTGTTTACTTCATCAGAGGTATTCATGATTGTGAACAATTCCATCATCTCTTCTATAAAAGCAGCAAGATTAGCTTCTCTGCAAAATGAAGTCCACCTTCTTTGGACTATTTAAGTAAATCTCTTCTGCAGCCACTTCAAGGTCTTGATATCTTAATAGGACACAGTACTCTTATACATGTTGTTTGATATTGTGGCTTGCTAGATCATTTCAAGGGTTGTTAAGAGCCAGCCACATTGCTGTGTACCCGGAGTCACATATACATCAGCCTAGGTAAAGATGGCAGATTTTGTTCCCTAGAGGACACTATGGAGGAACTAGAGAGTTTTTGCAGCACCCTGATGGTTTTGTGGTCATCATTACTGCTGTGAGCATTTTTATTCCAAGTTTAATTCATGAGCTAAATTTAAATTCTCCAGTTCGTGCAGTGAAATTTGAACACAATTCCCTAAATTATTAATTCCGACACTTAACCACTCTGCTACGTACTCCAGTGTACCTGAACTTATACATTTATGAATCAGATGATTCCTATTACAGGGTTTTAAAGAAAATAGGTCAGAACATTGCAGATACACTAGAATGGCAAGGGATAGATGGCACACTTCTGTCATACAATGCCCTGATTAGATCACTTCTGGGCACCATAATAATGTTCTATACAGATATATACTTGTCAGAATTATACATGTACTTCAAAGGTCAAATTAAACTAGCATCATGTTCCCTTGGGATTTGGAAGATTAAGCGGGATTTGATTGAAGTTTTCAAGATACTGAGAGAAACAGGGTAGGTCGAGAAAAACGTCTTTCACTGGCTAGTGAGTCTAAGAATTGAGAGGATAGTTGAAATATTAGAACCAAACTTTTCAGAAGCAAATTTGAATTATTTCCACACAAAGGTGTTTGAAGTTTGAACAAATGACAATTGATGCTTGATCAATTGCAAATTTTAAATCTGTGTTGATCAATTTTTGGTCCCTAGAAATATTAAGGAATATGAGGTGAAAGGGTTTCAAGCTGGCAGGGCTCTGGTGAAGGGAGATGAGAGACTGATGGTTTGACAGGCAATGGGGGAGAGATGCCTGAGGATGCTAAATATTTATGTGCGCCCTTCAGTGGATCCAGAGTTCCAATTAAATTGTGACCACCAACAAACACAGAAATACCCGGCCACCCATTGGATTTTGCATCCTCCCCACTTCAACTACATTGGTTGGGGAGCATAAATTTAAGACCACAAAATAGTAACAGCAAAGAAGGAAGTTATGAGCTCTTAATGCCCATTCCAGCTCTCTGTGAGAACAACTCGGCTAGGCTCACTCCCAGTCTTTCCCCAGTACTCTTGCAAAGTTATTCTCACCAGCCAATTATACTACTTCCTTTTGAATCTATGTCCACCACACCCTCCATTCTATCCACTTGCTGTATGTAAACGTTTTCCTCACATCCTCAATGGTTCTTTTGCCAACTGCCTTAACTTGATGTTCTCCAATTCTCAACCGTTCTTTCAATAAAAACAATTTCTCCCCATCTACTTTGTCTCAACTGTTCATGAATTTGAACACCTTTATCAAATCTCCTGTCAAGCTTCTCTCCAGTAAAAGGAATGGCTCTAGATTTACCAATATATCCAAGTAACAGAAGTCTCTCATCCGAGAAAATTATTATAAGTCTTTATTGCATCCTTTCCAATGCCTTCACTTCCTTCCTAATACATGATACCCAGATAAGACACAAAACTCTGATTAAGGTTGAAACAGTGTTTTACAAATGTTTGCTGTAACAGCCTTGCTTTTGTAATACTTTATGCCTCTATTTATAAAGCTCAGGATCATTTGTGGCTTATTAACCACTTTCTCAACCTTTCCTGTCACCTTTAATGATTTGTGCAAATACTTAGGCAGATATCTCTGCTCATGCATCTGTGTATCTGCTGCACATTTACCATTCTGCAAACTCACAGCTAACCAAAGTATTTTCCAATTACTTTCACCAATCATCCCTTTTTGCTGCTACCACATCTCAAGAATGTATTCCTTACTCTGAAGCCCAAATTGTCTATAGTTGCTGAGAACAAAAGTGAACCAACATTGATTACAGTGAAGTACAACATCTTTTCCATACTAAATAATATTCATTTGTTTTCTGTATATAAAACAACTGACTTTTATGCTCGCATTACGTTTGCATTGATTTGCACCAGACACTAATATTATAAAAACCCTTTTATGATAATTTCTTAGTTCAAGGGAAAGACGATTACTTGAAGAAACTACCAAGTAACTGGGGTCCTCCTAATGGTTCAGTGTTTCAAAAGGTGCCAATGCATATTACCAGTCTGGAATTTCAAAAGCTAACTAGTGATCTTGCAGATGTAGGCCTCACCGTTTTGAAGGTAAGAAAGTTGACTTATCAGGAGAATTTTCAAATTGTTAGCTATATGGTCTTATAGAACGTAATGAGATCACAAGTTAAGCTTGGCTGAAGAAAGCCTTTCAGCTCTTTTGACCTTATTCTTGTAAAATACTATATTTTATATTCTTTCAATTTAGTATATAATTGTTTCTTAAGTAGGACCAATGCTCTTATTTCAACCAGCCCTCTTGGAAATCAGTTCCTGCTTGAGATTAAATCTTGTCGATAAATATTTATTGCTGACTGTCTGTCTCAGATTCGCTTTACGTAACCCTGGAAAGTGCTCTCTTGCCTTGTTACCTTGCCTTATATAATAGTATTATTTCCCGTTCGTTTTCTCTATTCCTTGAGATATATTGGAGAGTTTTCTTATTCATGATCCTTTCCAGAATCAGTTGAGTGAAAGGCCACAAAATGTTGAGTTAAGTCTATCACTGCCTCACTGTCAGATTGAGATTTCCCTTCCTTCAAAATTTGTTGGGATCATTTTGCTGTATTGAGTTTGGGTGTGGATTCTGTGCAGTGAAAGTTGGTGGGGCTTAAGGATCTCAGCAGATTCTAAGTTCTCTGTCGCCATCAACCACCATGTGGAAAGTGGCAGCAGATCTAGGAATGCATAGGAAAGGCTTTCTAGCATCCTATCTTAGTCAGTTCCGAATCTGGCTTGCTGAAAGCATCTTTGTACCTAAGAGACTTTTTCAATCCCAAGAAGATGCCTTTAAGTTGCTTGCTGGATCTCTTAGTGCTGCATTTGATGGTACCTTTGCCTCTGACCCATCTTCCTACAACTCCCATACCATTATCAACTCCCCTCCCTCACATCTTAAAGTTGCCTGCCTCTATACTTAAATGAGAAAGTAAAATATCCCAGAGGGTATGTACAACAGAGACACTGAGGAATCAAGTTATTGACCTGACATTGTTCTACCCCAATGATTTGTCTTGTTTGTGTTTGAATGTGGAATTTGAATTATATTCAGAGAATGAAGAAAATCTTTATTATCATAGAAAAAAGGCAGATATTTTAATAAAACTATTGCTCGAATACAGATTGACAGAATAGAGAATCCTGTTTTGTGGAATTGCCATTTACTTAAGAAAGAGCAAGATGCAGCTGCTTCAAGGATTGAAAGCCAAGTCAGTGTCCTATACAAGTGGATTCCAGCTGAATTTTGCAGATTTGTCTGTAGAATTGGATTTCATGAAATATATTCACCAGAAAATAGTATGTATTTTTCATTCTGTTGTAAAAAAAAATATAATCTTTCACTGAATATCTGTTCCAAATATAATTTTATTTAAATTGTCGAAATATTGATGAAGAGATTCATCATGTGATTTTTAGAAAGGAGTCATTTTCCAACTGTTCCATTTTCATTGTGAAAACTATCCATTAACTATTCATTAGAAGGTATATGCATGCAACTAACCTTGTTCTGCTAGAAGTATTTGAGCTAAATTCAATGCAGTGGTTGTGGACCCTGGGAAAAGCCAAACAGCTGGAGTCAGCCCTATTGTGGCTGTTTCTAGGAGCCCTAATATGAATCTACACCAATCAGTTAACAGCCTGGCATTGTGATTGCCATCTCTTAAAGGGTAAGATTCCATCTCTAATACCTACCAGGCTAATCAGAGAACCAACAGTTCTTTGGTCGCAGCAGAACTACTGAGGGTCGTGACCATGAATTGAACAGCAGTCAGGCAGAGGCAATAAATGCAGATGTCATCTGGGCTCAATGGGACCCGTCAAGTGGGTGGGTGTCAGGGGGTGGGGGAGGGGGTGCTCAGGGAAATCACTGCCTCGGACTGCCAAGTATTTTAGCAGGGAGTGTCCAGAGTAGGGCACAACTGTCTGACGGCCACAGCATGCCCAGTCAGAAATGCGTAAGCACCCTTGACCTGGAAGGAGACAGCTAGTTGTAGCTTTATTGTTTCCCCAGGGAGCAATGGATTACCTCTGCTCTACACTCCACTATCACTGGCAGAATATTTTTTAAACTATTTTCTCAGCAACCTGTTCAGAGATGTTATGGCACATCTGCTGGCTTAGAGATAGGGACATTATCACTACACCACAAGAGCCTTTGCTGGCAGAATCCCATAAGAGGCAGGAAGAGATTCCTAACTGGCTCTTATTTGGTACGTAAAGGCCTCGGTTGACGTCTTTCAGGAAGATTTCTGTGATTTCCTATGCCCTTCAAAGGGTGTGGAAGGTAATTTGCACTTCATCTGCCCAATTTTATGACCTCCACATCAATACCACCCAGTCTGTTCGCATGGGCTAGGTGAAAATGCACCCTTTCAATTGAAGTATGAAAGAGGTCAAAGTTGTGGATGCAGTGATTGCTGTATCATTTTGAGTGGAAGGGATACATAAGTAGGTGAAACAGCCTTGTGATTGGATGAAAATAATTTTAATTTATGTATGTTTTCAACTTTATAGAGAGAAAGTATGGTGATGGGATCTACTTCAGCAGTGATGTGAAACAGCTCATGAAAGAAGTCACTAAAGTTGGGAAAATAATTCACATCTTTGAGGCTGAAGTTTTTATTGGCAACTGTTGCAAAACTTGCCCATCATATATTTCATCAGCACACAGAGATTTTGATTGTTATGAATTCAGTGAGAACAGCAAGGACAATGCAAGTCCATCCAAAACTTATGTTATTTTTAACAGTGTTCAAGCTTATCCAAAATACCTTATTGCATGCAGAAGGTGGATGAGCCTATGAACTAGTTACTCATTAAATCTGTTAACTGAAAAAATTGATAGTACTGTGCCTGTCAATTTCAACTCTTACAACATGAAGTGGTTAAATATTAACATCTGTGGGTTTAAGCCATGCATTATAATTCCGCCATTATGGGACTGGGGACACAGGAGTTGATGGCTTCTATTCTTATTTAAAACTGTTTCTTAACGTAATGAGTTGATGCTCAGCCACAAACTCAAGTGTAAAATTTGTGCAATTTTCTTTTTTTTTTTGGTCAGCTCTAGAATTCCTGACCCAGGTACACCACAGATAATCTGCTCCCAGAACAAACTAATAGCTGCAAATGATAGTCAGGACCAACATCAAGAAAAAAATCAGCTCAGCATAAAAGCCTGTGGACCTTGGTATTGCAATTGGAAGCTTTTTTAAATTATTCATGGGATGTAGGTGTCACTGGCTAGGTAAGCATTTATTGCCCATCCTTAATTGCTCTTGAGAAGGTAGTGGTGAGCTGCCTTTTTGAACAAATTGAGACCTTGAAGTACGTCCACAGTGCTGTTAAGAAGGAAGTTCCAGGATTTTGACCAGGTAGCACTGAAGGAATAGCAATATATTTCCAATTCTGGATGTATACGATTTGTAGATTATGATGTTTCCATGCATTTTCTGCACTTGACCTTCTAGATAGTAGAGGTTATGGATTTAGAAGGTGCTGTCAAAGGAGCCTTGGTGAGATATTGTATGCATCTCGTAGATGCGTCAGTGGTGAATGTGGTGCATGGAGTGCCAATCAAGCAGCTGCTTTATCCCGAATGACGTCAAGCTTTTGAACATTGTTGGATCAGCAATCATCCAGGCAAAACACTTTTGAAGAGATACTATCAGTTCGTCAAAGCCGTGATTAACGAATAAAAACATAAGAACATAAGAACATAAGAAGTAGGAGCAGGAGTAGGCCATCTGGCCCCTCGAGCCTGCCCTGCCATTTAATAGGATCATGGGTGATCTTTTTGAGACTCAGCTCCACTTACCCGCCCACTCACCATAACCCTTAATTCCTTTACTGTTCAAAAATTTATCTAGCCTTGCCATAAAAACATTCAGTGAGGTAGCTTCAACCGCTTCACTGGGCAGGGAATTCCACAGATTCACAACCCTTTGGGTGAAGAAGTTCCTCCTGACATCAGTCCTACATCTGTTTCCCTTTATTTTGAGGCAATGCCCTCTAGTCCTAGTTTCATCTGCTAGCGGAAACAACCTCCCTGCCTCCACCTTATCTATTCCCTTCATAATCTTATGTGTTTCTATAAGATCTCCCCTCATTCTTCTGAATTCCAATGAGTATAATCCCAGTCTACTCAGTCTCTCCTCATAATCCAACCCTCTCAACTCTGGAATCAATCAAGTGAATCTCCTCTGCACCCCGTCCAGTGCTAGTATATCTCTTCTCAAGTAAGGAGACCAAAACTGCACACAGTACTCCAGGTATGGCCTCAGTAGGACTCTATACTGCTGCAGCATAGCCTCTCTGTTTTTAAACTCCATCCCTCCAGCAATGGCAGACAAAATTCTATTTGCCTTTTTAATTACCTGCTGCACCTGCAATCCTACTTTTAGCGATTCATACACAAGGACACCCAAGTCCCTCTGCACAGCAGCGTGCTTCAATTTTTTACCATTTAAAACATAGTCCGTTTTGCTGTTATTCCTACCAAAATGGATGACCTCACACTGATCAACATTGTACTCCATCTGCCAGACCTTTGCCCACTCACTTAGACTATCTATATCCCTCTGCAGACTTTCAGTGTCTTCTGCACACTTTGCTCTATCACTCACGTTGGTGTCATCTGCAAATTTTGACACACCACCCTTAGTTCCCCAACTCCAAATCATCTATGTAAATTGTAAACAATTGCGGTCCCAACACTGATCCCTGAGGCACACCACTAGCCACTGACCGTCAACGAGAAAAATACCCATTTACCCCTACCCTTTGCTTTCTACTGGTCAACCAATCCTCTATCCATGCCAATACATTACCTGTGATACTGTGCAACTTTATCTTATGTACCAGCCTTTGGTGTGGCACCTTGTCAAATGCCTTCTGGAAATCCAGATACACCACATCCACAGGTTCCCCATTGTCCACCATGCAAGTAATGTCCTTAAAGAATTCCACCAAATTAGTTAAACATGACCTACCCTTCATGAACCCATGCTGGGTGTTCCCAATGGGACAACTTATATCCAGATGTCTTGCTATTTCTTCCTTAATGATAGATTCAAGCATTCTCCCCACTACCGAAGTTAAGCTAACTGGACTATAGTTACCTGCTTTTTGTCTACTTCCTTTTTTAAACAGTGGCGTCACATTGGCTGTTTTCCAATCTGCGGGAACCACCCGAGAGTCCAGTGAATTTTGGTAAATAATTACTAGTGCATTTGCTATTTCCTCCATCACCTCTTTTAGTACCCTCTTTTAGTATACTGTCATGAATCCCCACAGGATTCAGACAAAAGATTAGCTGTCTTGCTATTTGATACCAGAGATTCTGTAAATGAATCTATTGGGTTTAGTCCAATTGAATTGATTTATGGTCATGAGGTTAGAGTAGCATTAAATTTGATAAGGGAAAAAGTTCTTAAACCAAAAAAAATTCCTCAACACACACACAAATCCTCAACATATACAAAACAGAGAGAAAAATAAATAGAGCTATGGATGCTGGAAGTTAGAAACAGAAAAAGAAACATTTTGTCCAGTGACCTTTCTTCAGAAACTCAATTTTGGATTTTTTTTTCTGGAAAGACTTATCGGAGCATCTAGAGTAACACAAGAGCATTTGAAGGTTTCACGAGTGAAAATGAAGGATAAATGGGTTGGTATGATAGCTCAGTGGTTAGCGCTGCTGCCTCATAGCGCCAGGGACCTGGTTCCCTTGGGCAACCCTCTCTGTGGGTTTACACATTCTCCCTGTGCCTGCATGGGTTTGCTCCAGGTGCTCTGGTTACCTCCCACAGTCCATAGATGTGCAGGTTATGTGGACTGGCCATGCTAAATTGCTATGTCCAACCCATTTCTCCTACTTCTCCCCCACCTGCTGGTGTGCCAAATGAACAAACAGCAGGAAATTCAGTCCCCAGTGGGAGGAAATCTTGCCCTTGAGAACTGCCAGACAATCTAATTGGCCATCATGTCTAACAATCCCAGCAGCAGCTGAACTGAGTCCCAGGTACTGCATGGGGTTGCAAGGCCCAGAACAGAGACAACCTTGGGAATTGGATTGTTATGCCTGGTGTCTTGGACAGAGAGGGATTGGGAAGTGGGGAGTGACGTATTTAAGGCATGTTCTCTAGGCCAGGTGGGGAGGAACAAAGTGGCGAGGGTGCACCAGTGCTCCCAGAGAACACAGTGAATGATATACCCTGCATTCATTTTTTTCCACATGCTGTTTTTAAAACAGCATTCACATTTCTGCCCTCATCAACTATACTATAATATGGGCAAGCTAAATTTTGATTAATCATTTAGTTTACAATGTTGTGAGGGTTACTTATTTTGGTGCCCATCTGCCTACTGTTTTATGAGGACCAAGTCAAAAAATGTGCAGGAAAACAGCGGTCTAGCCACCTGTTGTATTTTTTTCATACCCATTACCTGAGAGGCACCTAAAATCTAATCTTGTCATTTAAAGTAATGGTACAAGGACAACGGGCATGAATGTTATAATTTTAGTTGTGATAAATGAAATGTAATGTACTCTCCTGAAATTTTATTTAGTTTCACTGCAATTTTGGAACATAGTCTACCTGCTTTGAGTAAAGTAGAAATCCACATAAAAACCATAAAGAGATACTTTAATAAATTGTTTCATGCTCATAGAAAATCATACTACTCCAATGCAAAAACGTTTATTTGTATTAAAAATGTCCATATCATAAAGTCTTTCATAAAAAGAAACTCTACCAATACAATATGCCTACTTGGGCCCATATTTTTCAATGTATTGAGGCAAACTGGATTAGTTACATGAAACGGTTTAAAACATTTACATAAATTCTTGTTTAGGGAGCATCATTTTAAAAAATTTGACCTGGCCAAATATTGTTGTACCAGACAAGACATTGATTTCAACATGGACATGCAGCAACAGAACAGCATACAGCCTGAAAGCCATCTGTTCCGCAAAAAGTTCCTTTCTTGTCCATATTAATGTTTATGTCAGCCTCGCAGTCATGAAAATAAAATGCAAATTTACCATGTAAAGAAATCTCAACCTATTTAATGTAGCTGTGTTTTTTCATAATGTGAAGTGCACAGCACAATTTGAAAAACTGATGAATTATATTTTTATTTTTCAAATGATTCTATGGTGTTTAATGCTAGAAGATATGGAATAGAGGTCTATTGTCACAAAATAGTGAAAACTAGTTTATACTATAAAAGAATGGATTAATTCATTAAAACTAAAACATTGAAAATTAACATGATGTTTCAATTTTAAAAATTAATATTTCTTAATTCATTCCTTGAACTAAGAGTGTTTTATTGATCTACACCCTATATCAGCAGCATATATAATTTACTTTGAAATACAGGGAATAGAAAAACTGTAGTTACTCATAAATGTTTGTCACTGATGGTTTCATAGGAACAGAGTAGTTTTAGGTCAACCAACTAATTCTAATTATCACTGAAGTTTGATTATTGCACAGAAAATGCATTTTCTCAACCGACATCTTCAGGAGTAGTATTTCTTCATATTGTGGCATGAATGATATCATAGCATCTGAATAATTTTTCCAGAAAATTTGTTCTTCTGTGTGGCTGGTGTACAGGTAGTCACTCAGCAGATTCAGGAATTTCCTGGTCATCCATAATAAGAGTGTGGATTATTCCTTCTCTTCGTTTCCCACTGCTAACAGCTTTGATACAGCAGTCATGGTTCTCAATAGTGAAGTGAGTTTCAGTGCCATCATCCACAAATTCGCCCTATAACATTAATAAAACTGTTTAGGTAAACAAAAGGGACTTGTATCAATATAGAATCTTATGCTTAATAGAGTCAGTCAGTCTAACTTGGCCATGCCAACCACATAGCCTAAATTGATCTAATTCTATTTGCCAGCATTTGGCACATATCCCTCTAAATTCTTCCTATTCATGTACCTATCCAGATGCCTTTTAAATGTTGCAATTGTACCAACCTCCATATTTCCTCTGGCAGTTCATTCCATATATGCACCGCCCTCAGCATGAAAAGTCGCCCCTCAAGTCTCTTTTAGATCTTTCCCTTTTCACCTTAAACTTATGCACTCTAGTACTGGAGTTCCATACCCTGGGAAAAAGACCTTGGCTATTCACCCTATCCATGCCCCTCATGATTTTATAAACCTCTATAAGGTCATCCCTCAGCTGCCAATGCTCCAGGGAAAAAAGCCCCAGCTTATTCAACATCTCCCTAAAATTCAAACCCTCCAATGCCGGCAATATCCTTGTAAATCTTTTTTGAACCCTTTCAGGTTTAACAACATCTTTCCTGCAGCAGGGCGACCAGGATTGAATGCAGTATTCTAAAAGTGGCCTCACCAATGTCCTGTATAGCCGCAACATGACATTCCAACTTCTATAATCAATGCACTGACCAATGTTCTAATATTCTAAAGGCTTTTAGAATTTGTGCAATGATCCATAAACAGGAAACAATGAGATATATGACCTGTAAATCTGTTTTTAGTAGGACATCAATGGAATACTGCTTTTAAAATAGCAGTATTTAGAGATACTTGCTGCCTCAGTTTAATGTCTTAACTGAAATACAGCATAACTGTCAATGCCACCTAACACCACATAATGGGGTCAAGTCGTGGATTTTACATGCAACTGATTGGTTCATTTTTGATGGGAGTGAGGGTGGTGAATGCCCAGCCAACCATCTTTCCAACCCATAATATGGGGTGGGGGATGCTGAAATTCTCAGTGCACCCACCATTTCCTAAATGAATAAAGGTGAATTCAGCTTGTTCACCATTAAACACACCTCACAAGATCTCCCTGCCTATGCCATTAAATAGTTGGCATTGTTTGACATTGTTTCACATCATTCAAAGCTGTACATTTCTGCAGGAGATTAGGCAAGCAGGAAAACCAATTAAAATGTCGCTTTATTATTTGGATAAGGTACTAACATTTCAATGAAAAGACACGCTGGAATAGCATACTTAAAATCTATCCAATCTAAGTGGAATTAAGTGGATATATCGTACAGCCCATTTAGATGTGTTTCATGAATGTGGTAGATCATGAAAACTTTTATCTCGTTATTTGTAGACAGTCAATGTAGCATTTTATAAATCCCTACTTTGGAAATAAAACCAGTCTGACTCCAAATTGATACACAGCCAGATTCTAAACAAGGCCTCACACCTAAAATTCATTGTCTGACCTGGGATGTCACCTCTGGTGAAGTGAGGGAACTGATAAAATCTTTAATAAAAACCGAAAGAACTGCGGATGCTGTAAATCAGGAACAAAAACAAAGTTGCTGGAGAAGCTCAGCAGATCTGGCAGCGTCTGTGAAGGAAAAAACACAGTTAACGTTTCAGGTCCAGTGAGCCTTCCTCAGAACTGATGGTGAAAAAACCTTTAGTTATCTCGGGACAGTGACTTGAAAGAAACTCTTGAATTTGCATATTAATCCTTTCTAACTGATTAAAGATTTAACAGCCATCTTGGATTTGCTTAACACACTTGCATCAATTTTATGGTTGATCTTTTGCTTATAAATTCCGTATCTGGTACCACCTCTCTCACTGACACCTGAAGAAGAAGTGAGACTCCAAAAGCTTGTGTCTTCAAATAAACCTGCTGAACGATAGGGGATGAAGGGAACTCCTCTCTTCCTACCTTGACTCAGTCTTCTCTCCCCTGGTCTAATCCCTACCCACATACATCCATGATTCATCTGACATCTTACGCCGGTTTCAAAGCTTCCAGTTTACCGGCTCCAGCTACCTCCTCTTTACCATGGATGTGCAATCCCTTTACACATCCATTCCCCACCAGGAGGGTCTTAGGGCTCTCCGCTTCTTCCTGGAGCAAAGACCTGAACCATCCCCACCCACCACCACCCTCCTCCGCTTGGCCGAGCTTGTCCTCACCCTCAACAACTTCTCTTCCAACTCCTTTCATTTTCTTCAGGTAAGAGGGGTTGCCATGGGTACCCGCATGGGCCCTAGTTATGCCTGTCTCTTCGTGGGATACGTGGAACATTCCTTGTTCCAGTCCTATTCCGGCACCCACCCACAACTCTTTCTCTGATACATCGATGATATCATCGGTGCTGCTTCCCTCTCTCGTCTGGAACTGGAAAGCTTCATCAATTTCGCCTCCAATTTCCACCCTGCCCTCACCTTCACCTGGTCTATCTCTGACTCCTCCCTTCCCTTCCTCGACATTTCTGTTTCCATTTCTGGGGATAGACTGGCCACTAATATCCATTACAAACCCACCGACTCCCACAGCTACCTGGACTATACATCCTCACACCCCACTTCCTGTAAAGACTCCATCCCATTCTCTCAGTTCCTCCGTCTCCGTCGCATATGTTCAGATGAGGCCAACTTCGACAAGGGAGCCTCCGAAATGTCCACATTCTTCCTCAACCGAGGATTCCCCAGCTCCGTTGTCGACAGGGCCCTCAATCGGGTCCGACCCATCTCCCGCACTTCTGCCCTGACATCTTCTCTTCCCTCCTACAACAGCGATAGTTTCCCCTTATCCTCACCTACCATCCCACCAGCATCCACATCCAGAAGATCATCAGACGCCATTTCCGCCACCTCCAGCAAGATGCCACCACCAGACACATATTCCCCTCCCCTCCCTTGTCCGCCTTCCGCAGGGACCGTTCCCTCTGGGACACCCTGGTCCACACTTCCTTCACCCCCAACACCTCCCCACAGGCCTACAGCACCTTCCCCTGTAACCGGCGACGGTGCAACAACTGCGCATTTACGTCCTCCCTCCCCAGAATCCAAGGGCCCAAACATACCTTCCAGGTGAACCAACACTTCACCTGCACTTCCCAGAATTTAGTCTACTGCATTCGCTGCTCACAATGTGGTCTCCTCTACCTTGGGGAAACAAAGCGTAGACTTGGTGACCACTTCGCAGAACATCTACGTTCTAATCACAAAAAAGACCCTGAACTACCTGTCACCTGCCACTTCAATGCACCACCTTGCTCCCTGGCCAACATCTTTGTCTCCGGCTTGCTACAGTGTTCCAGTGAAGCCCAACACAAGCTGGAGGAACAACACCTCATTTTCCACTTGGGGACCCTACAGCCCTCTGGACTCAATATTGAGTTCAATAATTTTAGGGCCTAAACTCTCCCATGTCCCAGCCCCCCACCCCACACACCAGACCTTGTTACCACATAGCCTGCCACTACACACCCCCTGTTGTTAGTCACTAACAGTCCCCATTAACAACTACTCACCCTCCCAGCCTGATCGTTAGCAACTCCTTTGTCTGTCCAACTGTCTTTCTCTCTCTTTGGGCTCTATCCTATTGTTTACTCCCTATCCCACCCACCTCCCTATTTTCTGAGGAAGGGTCACCGGACCCGAAACGTTAACTCTGTTTTCTCCTCCACAGATGCTGCCAGACCTGCTGAGCTTTTCCAGCAACTTTGTTTTTGTTCCTGTTGGCCTATAACCTGGTGTCATGCAATTTTTGACCTTGTCCACCCCAGTCCAACACTGGCACCTCCACATCATTTAAAATATTCAAGGATTTTGCTGCCACCACTTTTCCAGGTAGAGATTTCTAAACACTCATGACAAAAAACAATTCATCTAACCTTTGTCAAATGGACAATTCCTGATTTTTTGTTTTAAGTAGTGATCCCTGGTTTTAGATTCTCTCATAAAAAGGAAAAAAAATTCTCTCTATATCTACCCTGTCAAGGTTCCTCAGCACATCATATGTAACTCACCAAACTGCACATTCTCGAGTTTGAACCTAAGTAGTTGAATGTTGGAAGGCTATTTAGCTGCAAGGCATAAATGGGAGCACAGACTGTATTATACTTGATCCATTTCTGTCCTTGTCGAACATTCAAGCACACGCATTCCAGGGAGGGTGATGAGGGGTAGGGCTCAGGTTAATTTTTCCCTATTTTAATCAAAAGACATTCATGACAGATTCAGTGTTCTTACATTCAAAATGTTCCTGGTCTTTCTGGTTCATTACCCTAACTAGCTGAAGCATCATTCATCCCTTTCAAGTCAGTTAAATTTGTAAGTGAAACTAAATGAACACAATTTCAGTTCTTGGGGCATTTATAATAACACAGGTGCAATATCAAAACAGCAACCTTGGTGCTTTAAGTATAGAGCAGGCCATCCAGGGAATTGTATAGGTCCTCCCACCCTCAAATCTGATGATAAAAACCTGGTCATTTGTTTAATCATTATAAGTTTCAAGTTAATTAATGTAGTGGGTTATTTAAAATTTTTCTTGTTGAAAATGCAACCCTAAAAAGAAAAAAATGGTTTATTAACCAAATTCATATTTTAGTTAGTATGCCTCCCTTTCAATACAAAAGAAATGTAATCTCTAAGCTTGAAAAACTTACTGCTGTCTCCACTTTCTTCCCATTGCACCAAACATCCATGGTGTCCTTCTCTGCACAGGACCAAAGTCAAAGAATGATTAAAATTATTAGAGAAAAATACCAAATGTTAAGAGTTTATTTCTCAATTTCTCTTTTTTTCTAGCCAAACTATTTCTCTAATTTACTTTTACTTTAACTAAAGTAACATTTCTTCACATTTAGTTACCAATAAACAATAGTGATTTGATTTTTTATGGTGGATGCATGCAATAAAAATAAATGCATATGTGATTGTAGTTTATAAAATTAGGCCAGTTATTTTGTTTAGGGCACATAGATCTGCAGAAAGGAAAAACATTACACTGGAATCTGGGATGTGTTACACTGAAGAAAATGATGAGCCATATATATAATGCAGTGGAAACTGAAAAAGAATAGAAAGAACTATGACAAATTAATATTAAAAAAAACAGAAATAGTGAAGACTTTTACAGGTGTATTTAAAAAAATATTTTAAAAAAGTGGGGCTGTGGAGAGCATCTAAGTTAAAGTTACTGCAAAGATAATAAACAAATAAAGAATTTAGAAATTTTGGTGTAATACAGAATGTAGCAAAACAGATTATCAAGTTGAGGATGGACAAGAAACAAGATTGCTCATGTTGGAAAAATCTTGGAAGTGGCAAACCGCAACCAGCTAATACTAGGTTCACTTCTGTTCTTGAATATACATGATTTGGTCATAGTCTTAGAAATTTATTGACAAAACAAATAGATTTTGGCAAATTGTGTAAAATATCATAAAAAACTTGAAAAAGACAGATTACAGATTTAACAATGTGTGACAGATCAAATTTAATGTGGATAAGTGGGACATAACACATTTTAGGAAGAAAAATATGGAAGAATATATAAAGATGCTGAACATGTGGATGAATGAAGACCTCGGGGGATCATAAAATATACTTATCTCAAACCTGTGTCTAACCAAACAAACCATTAGAAAACTAATGGGAATTTAGAAATAGAGGTATAAAGTACAAGAATAAAAAGCAGCGTTCATTTTTTGAACAAAAATTTGTGCTGCTGAGACCAGTTTCAAACCACTATCCCTGTGCCCAAACTACAAGGAATTGCGCTGACAGCCAAACTGGAAACTGGTGGCTTCTAAGGGTTGGGAGTACCCACACATAACTGACAATAGCAGACTTGAATATGCAAATCATAGTACTAACTCCTGTTTTAAGGATTTCACTCCAGATTAATCATTGATAGGACAGCTGAACAAGCAAAATTTCTTGAGACCAATTATTCCAGTATTTAAAGATTCAATAAACAGTGAGTTTGAAAATTTGAAGTGGAAACTTAACATATACCAGGAATAGGAAATCAATAGAGATACAAAGGACAGAACTGGGGAATGGGACTCATTGTGGCTGGGGTCCAAAGAACAAATCTTAGTTTACGTAAGATTGAATTTGCGAGGCTAACAAAGCTTTAAGAAGCCCTGCTTTGGAATAAGAACATAGGAAAAGTAGGTCATTTAGCCCCTCAAGTATGTTCAACCATTCAGTTAGATCATTGCTAAGCAGCATCTTAATTCCAAATATCTGCCTTGCTTCCAAAACCCTTGTTTCTTGTTAGGCAAAGGTATTAAGTTCCCTTTCGACATTTTTATTTTCTGGAAATGTGGTGAAGGCAAGTTCAATCAAGGAAAGTTCAATTGAGGCATTCAAGAGGGCATTGGATGATTATTTGGATGAAAACAGTGTGCAAGGGAACGGGGAAAAGCAGGAGATTGGCACTTGTTAATGATGGTCATTTGAGTGCATAGGCCAAATGGTTTTTATCTCACTGTAACAATTCTGTGATTTTCAAATTGATTATATCTTAACAGCTTTTATTAAAAGTTAGTTCCAGATTTTCACTATACTTTGTGTGAAGAAGTGCTTCCTGGCATTACCCTTGAAAAGTCTAGCTTTAATTTTAAGGTCACACCACCTTACTCTGGAAATAACACACCACCAACCCCCAAAGCAAAATGTCAGGATAAAGGTGAAGTTGACAGTATATCATAACTGCAATTCCAAAGAATGCTGACTGTGTATGGGGAAGTGTCACGGCCAAGGGCAAATGGCAAAGCAATTGTAGGAACTTGAAATGCAATGCGTGGGAAAAGTGAGCACAAATTTTATTGGGCGTTGGGTTCAAGAATGGCTTTTGAAGAGGCTGATGGAAGCAATTTGAAAAGGTGTCAGGAGAAGTGTCTAAGGAAAGCGACATCTTGGTCTCAACAAGAAAGACTAGTTCAGAGAGGTAGTCAAGGTTTTAAGGGGTTGGACTATAAGGAAGTTGAAAGTGCAGCAAATGTACATCATGACAGAGGTGGACTGATGAGTACATGCTAAAATGACTGATTTTAGATGGAAACCATTCAGAAACACTTTATAGATTTCTTAAACCAGGTCAACATAAATGTACAGCCAATTGCAATGAAGGAACAAAACATTTCCTACCCTAATGTGCACCTACCCAGCACTATTCGTGCATCTATTCCATCCAGATTTAATATCCATGTGTTTGTAGTTTTTGATCTGTTCTCCATGTACTTCTTAAGGCTTTTCCCATTGATCTCCAATGTGTATTCATAAGCAAAACCACTAATTGCATCAATATTGATTGTTGCTTTAGTGTTAGTAGCTCCAACTGCAAATGTCTCCTTCCCAACAAGTTTGAACATCCAGTCCTTCCGTATAACCTCCTGACATTAAAATATTGTTCGTCACACACAAAGAAAATAAACATTCAATGACTGAGGATTTTCAAACTTTATGACCAAACCAAGTTATAATAAATAAACATTATATATTGAATCAAAGACTAACACTACATTACAAAATTTAACACACCATTAGAGTATTAAAAAAACAAATCAATCAATCGGCAGAGGCTAGAAAGGAAAGCTTGTTAAACCATCACATGGAAAGGAAAATAAGACAAACAGATTGATAAATTATCAGATTATATAGAATGCATTCAAACCAATTAACGCATGTACTCTCTACCCTATTAATAAAGCCTAGAATACAGTATGGTTTATTAACAGCTCTCTCAACCTGTCCTGCCAACTTCAGTAACCTATACGTATAGACACCCAGGTCCCTCTGCTTCTGCAAACTCCTTTAGAGTTGCATCCTCTCTTTTATACTGTCTTTATTTGTGGTACAATCACAATCACAATTAAGTAGACAACATTAGCAGGCACTGTGCATTTGGAGTCTCACAAACAACAAATAAATTAATCACTAGATAATCTATTTCTGTCGGAGTTTGAAGAAAGAATGTTGGCTGAGACAATTAAAAATCTCCCTGGTCTTTGAACAAACAAATGGAATCATTTACTGCTTATAGGTGGCACGTCAAACAAAATAATGTTCTCGGAGTACTGCAATGGATGTTAAACCACATTTGACAGCTCAAATCCATCATGGAGCGGACTTGAAATATTGCAACTGAAGAAAAGCACCAGCTCCCAACTGAGCCAAGTCAATACGCTAACAAACTTTGCTTCTTTTTGTGCGCATCCAGCTACTGGTTGTCTTACTTGAAAATTTCACAAAGTTCATTTCATTATGTTGGAACATTAAAACAAAAGCAGATAAACAGTATAAACAATAAGATCCCTTGGGGATCTTCAATGCATAAAAGAAATAATCTTCAGAGTGAAGTACAGAAACCCAAAGTCAGATAGAGGCCATTTGGCCCGTCACATCAGCAGTGATAATCCCTTTACTAAAATAATGATCACCTGTTCCCTAGCTCCATTTAGTCTCAGGCATTCCTGCGAGACCCTAAGAAATGAAAACATGTTTGCTTTGAAGTTACAGTAATTGTGAGTATTAGTAATACTAATATTATAGTATTACTATATTACTATAGTAATTAGTGAGTAATAGTTTGCAATACATTAGGGAGATACCAATAGAAGATGTAGCAAATGCATGGAAGTTCACCGATAGAAAACCAGTTGCACCTGTGCCAGCCTGAGCAAGAAGCCTTGAAAAGGAGATAGTGATGACCCTTCACTGAAGTTTGGTTGTTTACAAGAATACTGCTGGGAAAAAAAAGGGGTAGTGTCAGCTTGAATCATTTTCTGATGGTAATTAAACTCAACCATTTTGGCTACTGTAATACAGTTCATGTTTTCTCTTGTTCAGTAAAGGTTTATTCTTGGTGTTAAATGCACACAGGCAGACAGCTGTGAATGTGTTCAGCAGCAGAGGTCCATAGTTTGAAATAAAAACCAAATTTGTCTATCAAGCTAGGTTTAATTTCTGGGATCCCAGTGAACCAATACGAACATCAGCTGGGAACATAATAATAATTATTGCTGAATTATTCTAATCCTGCTGCTATGAATGTAAATACCCAATAGGTCACCACAAATACAGAAGACAATGTTAGTATATTCACTGCATCATCTGTGAAAGGAATTATTGTGAATGATAAAGGAGCTCCTGAAACTCAAAAGGTAGCCCTCAAAGATCAAAAAGTATAGCCCTGGAGATCTTCTTAATCACTTAAGAAAAACGGATTTTTTGACTCCTGCTTTGAGATACATAGAGGTGACAGGGGCAACATTTGCCACTTCCATGACAACAGGAATTGAAGAACTATGCAGGGTGACATTCAATTACTTGACTAGAGCTAGCAATATGTTCTAATTTTCTTCCTTGCCCATTCTGGGCATCAGCAGACAAACTCTCAGAGCAGCACTCACAAGTAATTGAACTGACATTGGTTGGACTTGTTTTAAATGATCCTCCGTCTCACAATCCCATAGAATTCAAGCCAATCTTATTGCTTGATCGGTAACCAACTAGCAAAATCCCTAGAAGTACTAAACATTAGACCCCTCATGTTATCATTTGCCACGCACAACCTGCAACATAGCATACATAGTGATGAAGTGCAAGTTTAATACTTCTATTTTATTTCCTCTATGCCAGTTTGCCATCAATCTATCAAAACACCTTGCAACTTTTTGTTAGCTGTGTAACTCAGGCATGACAAAGGCAAAGTTTGGAGTGTAGTGGTCGGATTGGTGAGCAGCCTCTCTCTGCAGTGAATTAGGTATCTGAAGGAACGTAATGGGGTCATACACAGTAGCCACTCCAGATCGTAAATCTATTGGTTGGAAACATCAGTTATTCAGGAAATTTTTCAGCAGGGCAAATGACACAGTACAGTATTCCGGGAGCAGAAACATGGAAGATACAGCAACTGGATAAGTTATCTTTTAAAGTTTAAACTATTTTTATCACTGATAGTAGGAACTGCAGATGCTGGAGAATCCGAGACAACAAGGTGCAGGGCTGGATGAACACAGCAGGCCAAGCAGCATCATAGGAGCAGAGAGGCTGACGTTTCGGGCCTCGACCCTTCATCAGAAAAGGGGGAGGGGAAGGGGGTTTTGAAATAAATAGGGAGAGAGTGGGAGGCGGATAGAAGAGGGATAGAGGAGAGGATAGGTGGAGAGGAAACAAACAGGTCGAAGAGGCGGGGATGGAGCCAGGAAAGGTGAGTGTAGGTAGGGAGTTAGGAAGGGGATAGGTCAGTCCAGGGAGGACGGACAGGTCAAGGGGGCGGGATGAGGTTGGTCGGTAGCAGATGGAGGTGCGGCTTGAGGTGGGAGGAGGGGATAGGTGGGAGGAAGAACAGGTTAGGGAGGCAGGGACGAGTTGGACTGGTTTTGGGATGCGGTGGGGGGAGGGGAGATTTTGAAACTTGTGAAATCCACATTGATACCATTGGGCTGCAGGGTTCCCAAGCGGAATATGAGTTGCTGTTCCTGCAACCTTCGGGTGGCATCGTTGTGGCACTGCAGGAGGCCCAGGATGGACATGTCGTCTGAGGAATGGGAGGGGGAGTTGAAATGGTTCGCGACCGGGAGGTGCAGTTGTTTGTTGCGAACCGAGCGTAAGTGTTCTGCAAAGCGGTCCCCGAGTCTCCGCTTGGTTTCCCCGATGTAGAGGAAGCCACACCGGGTACAGCGGATGCAGTATACCACATTGGCAGATGTGCAGGTGAACATCTGCTTGATGTGGAAAGTCTTCTTGGGGCCTGGGATGGGGGTGAGGGAGGAGGTATGGGGGCAGGTGTAGCACTTCCTGCGGTTGCAGGGAAAAGTGCCGGGTGTGGTGGAGCTGGAGGGGAGTGTGGAGCGGACAAGGGAGTCACGGAGAGAGTTGTCCCTCCGGAAAGCAGATAAAGGTGGGGAGGGAAAGATGTCTTTGGTGGTGGGGTCGGATTGCAGATGGCGGAAGTGTCGGAGGATGATGCGTTGGATCCGGAGGTTGGTGGGGTGGTACGTGAGGACGAGGGGGATTCTTTTTTGGTTTTTATTGCGTGGACGGGGTGTGAGGGATGAGGTGCGGGAGATGTGGGAGACACGGTTGAGGGCGTTCTCGACCACCGAGGAGGGGAAGTTACGGTCCTTGAAAAACGAGGACAACTGAGATGTACGGGAGTGGAATGCCTCATCCTGGGAGCAGATGCGGCGGAGGCGAAGGAATTGGGAATAGGGGATAGCATTTTTGCAGGAAGGTGGGTGGGAGGAGGAGTATTCTAGGTAGCTGTGGGAGTCGGTGGGCTTGAAATGAATATCGGTTTCGAGGTGGTTGCCCCCATACCTCCTCCCTCACCCCCATCCCAGGCCCCAAGAAGACTTTCCACATCAAGCAGATGTTCACCTGCACATCTGCCAATGTGGTATACTGCATCCGCTGTACCCGGTGTGGCTTCCTCTACATCGGGGAAACCAAGCGGAGACTCGGGGACCGCTTTGCAGAACACTTACGCTCGGTTCGCAACAAACAACTGCACCTCCCGGTCGCGAACCATTTCAACTCCCCCTCCCATTCCTCAGACGACATGTCCATCCTGGGCCTCCTGCAGTGCCACAACGATGCCACCCGAAGGTTGCAGGAACAGCAACTCATATTCCGCTTGGGAACCCTGCAGCCCAATGGTATCAATGTGGATTTCACAAGTTTCAAAATCTCCCCTCCCCCCACCGCATCCCAAAACCAGTCCAACTCGTCCCTGCCTCCCTAACCTGTTCTTCCTCCCACCTATCCCCTCCTCCCACCTCAAGCCGCACCTCCATCTGCTACCGACCAACCTCATCCCGCCCCCTTGACCTGTCCGTCCTCCCTGGACTGACCTATCCCCTTCCTAACTCCCTACCTACACTCACCTTTCCTGGCCCCATCCCCGCCTCTTCGACCTGTTTGTTTCCTCTCCACCTATCCTCTCCTCTATCCCTCTTCTATCCGCCTCCCACTCTCTCCCTATTTATTTCAAAACCCCCTTCCCCTCCCCCTTTTCTGATGAAGGGTCGAGGCCCGAAACGTCAGCCTCTCTGCTCCTATGATGCTGCTTGGCCTGCTGTGTTCATCCAGCCCTGCACCTTGTTGTCTCTATTTTTATCACTATTGTGTTTCAGGGAAGTATTTATATAAATAGTGTTTTCCAGTTCACATACTTGTAATGTCATTCTATTATCCAGAAAATTCTGATATCTAGAAAGCACTTTGTCTCAGGTATTTCAGGTTGGAGAGGTTATGCTGCATTAATGTGCATCTGTCATGGGAACTAATGATTTAATGCTCAAAATGGAAAAGTGTTTCTTTCTTTGGCATGGACTAACATCAGCTACCAGCTATGTAGCTGAAAAAAATTAACTGAATTAAGATGTAGGACAATAAGATTTTAGAATAATACAATATCACATCTCAATTGCACAATTTACAAACTTTGATGGTTACTAGACTTTCAATGTCAATAACTTAAAGTCCTAATTTATTCTGTTCTACAATTTTCTGTATTTTATATTTTAATTGCAATGATTGATTGTAAAACCTACCTCACGTCAGCCCTTTGCCATGACTGAAGTTGTTTTATAAAATCAATTAAAAAATTAATTTCATAATTTTTAAATAAAAATGTTTAAATTTTTTATTAAAAATCTGTTAATTGAAACAAACAATTCTCATGAATTTATACATGTGTATGGAAAATAATATTTTAGCCTCTTGGATGTTATTTCTTGAGCACTATTGAAAATCTGCCCAAATAACTAATTTTCTTGTGTGGACTCAGTGCTGGCAAGCTACTTGACAATGAAAAGCATTGCAACAGATGTTGATCTTGTTTCTCAACATGGGTTATTGAACAGTTGAAGGTTTGCTCAATTTTCATTCTTCTGAACCAACATCAATATCAGTTACATCATCTCAACTGATATCCCAACTACAGTTCTATCCTATAACTTTTTGGTTTGAATGGATTAGCTTTACTTATTGATTAGGAGAGTTTTATACATAAAATCTTAGCAAATTAAATATAATGATTGAGCCAATATGAAAGCAACCATTGAATATCTTACCTTTCCATCAACATACACCACTCGCTTTCCTGAGGTGGTGCCATGCTCAAATTCTATTTTGTGAACACCATCGCTTAGAGCAACTTCCCAAAATGCCACCAGGTCAGCCATTTTCTCAGGGGGTAAATGGAGGGCTAAGAAAACACAAAAATATAAATGCATGGCAAGAGTACACGACTAATTATGAATACTGTGAAATTTGTCAAGGCAACCTAGAATTCTAAATCTACAGACATAACTAACACATCTAAAAATGAATATATCATGAAATATTGTGATTCATTAGTGCAAGTATTCAAAATACTAGATTGCAATGACAATAAACAGCAGCAAACACTTCAGCATAAGGAACTTATAACTATACAGTTAATGAATCAGAAATCAACAAGTAGATAACTGAATATTGCCCATCATAACAGGTGTAATGTCAAAAGAACAGCAACACATTACTGTTTTAAAAAAAAATGATTGAAGTGGACAGTGAAGAAGGTTATCTAAGATTACAATGAGATCTTGTTCAATTGGGTCAATGGGCTGGGGAGTGCCAGATGGAGTTTAATTTGGATAAATGTGAGGTACTGCAGTTTGGTAAAACAAACAAGGGCAGGGCTTATAAAGTTAATGGTAGGGCCCTGGGTAGTGTTGTAGACAAGACAGACCTAGGGTTTCAGGTACATAATTCTTTGAAATTTGTGTCACTGGTAGACAGGCTGGTTAAGAAGGCATTTAGCACGCTTGCCTTCATTGCTGAGACCTTTTAGTATAGGAGTTTGGACGTCATGTTGAGGTTGTACAGGATGTTGGTGAGGGCTCTTGTGGACCACTGTGTGCTGTTCTGGTCGCACTGTTACAGGAAGGATATTATTAAACTGGAGAGGGTTCAGCAAAGATTTACCAGCATGTTGCTGGAAATGATCGGTTTGAGTAATAAAAATGGGCTGGACAGGCTGGGTCATTTTTCACTGGATGGTAGGAAGTTGAGGGCTGATCTTATAGAAGATTATAAAATAATGAGGGGCATAAATAGGGTGAATAGCAAAGATCTTTTCACGAAGGTGGGGAGATCAAAACTCGGGGGCATATTTACAATGCGAGAGGAGAAAGATTTAAAAAGCACATGAGGTGCAACTTTTTTTTTTAAAACACAGAGACTGGTTAGTGTACGGAATGAATTGCCAGAGGAAGTGGTGGATGTAGCTACGGTTACAACGTTTAAAAGACATTTGGATAAATCCGTGAATAGGAAAGGTTTGGAGGGATATGAGTCAAAACTCAGGCAAATGGGAGTAGTTTAGCTTAGGAACATGGTTGGCTTGCACTAATTGGACCCAAGTGTCTGTTTCCATGCTGTATAATTCTATGGCTATGACTATGACTCGACATTTAGGGAGAGGTTCTTGGATGATAGAAAACTGCAATATGGATCAGTCGTCTTGTAGGGGGTAAGTACAAGACAGGCTTGCAAAATGAATATGACATATTATTGCAGTAAAAGCTCTTGACAATCTTGACCATCTAGTATTGTTCTCATTATTTTACAAAATATTGATTGTCTATAAACTTTTAAATTTTCCATGACAATTGTGTTGTTTAAGCAACATTACAGCATTAATTGATGCATTTGAGATATTGTCTTTGCAGACTTTACATCATTGCTGGCTACATGTGTTCAAATCATTTCATGAAATCCTGTTGTACTTTAATGTCAGAAATATTTACAACACCAATGCAAATAGTATCAAATGGCAACATTTTTATTTATTTTAGATTGTTTGTTTTTGCTAGCTTCTAATACAATCAGTAATTACATGTAACAAATTCTCACATAGAAACCAATTATCAAGCAAAACAGACAGATATGTAGCAATAATGTCACTAGAATTGAAATGTAATAGTAATAGTCCATCCATCCCAATACCAAAGAAAGCACATGCAATGTGCCTCAACGACAACCACCCATTGGCTCTGACCTCCATAATCATGGAGTACTTTGAAAGGGTGGCCATAGCCCATGTCAAATCTAGCCTCCTAGCCCGCCTTGATCCCCTGCAATTTGCCTACTGGAGAAACAGATCCACGATGGATGCCATTTCCCTAGCCCTACTCTCATCCCTGGAACATCTGGATAAAAAGGACATCTACATCAGGCTCCTACTCATCGACTACAGATCCACCTTCAACACCATTATTTCTTCCCGACTAATCTCAAAACTCCAAGACCTAGGTCTAAGCTCTGACCTCTGCAACTGGATCCTCAGCTTTCTGAACAACAGACCACAATCAGTGAAGCTAGACAGCAGCACCTCCTCGATAATCCTTAATACTGATGCCCTGCAAGGATGTGTTCTCAGGCCCCTATTGTACTCCCTGTATACCCATAACTGTGTAGCCAAATTACGTACAAACGCCATCTACTCGTTTGCTGATAACACCGCCATGGTAGGCCAGATATCAAACAACGATGCGTCAGAATACAGGAAGGATATAGAGTGCTTGGTCTCGTAGTGCAATAATACAGTCTCTCTCTCAATGTTGGCAAAAAAGAAAGAACTGATCATTGACTTCATGAAGAAAGGAGGAGGACATGCCCCTACCTACATCAATGGAGCTGAGGTGGAGAAGGTGAACAGCATCAAGTTCCTAGGAGTGACGATGACTAACAATCTGTCTTGGACCTCCCGTGTAGATGCAACGGTCAAGAAGGCACAACAATGCCTCTTCTTCCTCAGGCGGCTTAGGAAATTTGGCATGTTAATGAGAACCCTCACCAACTTTTGCAGATGCACTATACAAAGCATTCTATCCAGGTGCATATTGACATGGTAAGACAACTGCTCTTCCCAGGATCGTATGGAACTACAGAAAGTTATGTACACAGTCCAGACCATCACGGAAGCCAACCTTCCATACGTAGATTCCATTTACATGGCTCGTTGCCACAGAAAGGCTACTAACATCATCAAAGACCCCTCCCACCCCAGTCGTGCTCTCTTCCAACCTCTTCCGTCAGGCAGAAGATACTGAAGCTTGGACACATGCACCAACAGGTTCAAGAACAGTTTCTTCCCTGTTGTTATTAGACTTCTTGATGGACCTCTCTAATTCCAAATAATGTTGATCATGTTAATGTTAATCTTGCATGGTGTACCTCCTGTGCAGCCATAACCTTGTATTCCTCACTTGGTCTAAGCACTCTATGATCTCAGTGACCTTGTTTGCTAAGATCTACCTGTGCTGCTCGCAAAACAAAACTTTTCACTGTACTTAGGTGAATATGACTACAATAAATCAAATCAATCAAATATGGTCATGGTTTGTCTTGAGATGATTTTGTAATTTGTTCTTAACAACTTAAAGAGTACATTAGTAATATATACAAGTACTTTTAAACTACATGAACATTCAGTAACTCAGGAGGGAATGAGCATATTTTCATCAAACTCTACTAGTTTTGCACTAGATTTTAGGAACCTTTTTCTACTTACAGATTTATGTGCAAATTTAGTAGAGTGGGATTTGAATCTAGAATCTTCTGAGTCAGAGGTATTAGTGCTGCCGAGGGAGTCACAGCTGACACACAAGATCCACAGATTATGTTGTGAATGCTTGTAAATTAAACAAGACACGGTTACACAGTGGTTAGCACTGCTGCCTCACAGCGCCAGGGACCCGGGTTCGATTCCAGCCTCGGGCCACTGCCTGCGTGGAGTTTGCACATTCTCCCCGTGTCTGCGTGGGTTTCCTCCGGGTGCTCCGGTTTCCTCCCACAGTCCAAAGATGTGCAGGTTAGGTAGATTGGCCATCCTAGATTGCCCACAGTGTTCAGGGAGGTGTAGATTAGGTGGATTATAGGGGGATGGGTCTGGGTGGGATGCTCTGAGGTTCAGTGTGGACCTGTTGGGCCGAAGGGCCTGTTTCCACACTGTAGGTATTCTATGATTCTATCCTATGTAAAGACAGAACCTAAAAATGATTCTACGCTATTAGCCCAGTTTACTTGACTGCAGGTAATGTATCACAGCGCTTTAATGACATTCACATTTAACTTGCTGTACTGACAAACAAACAGTGTTAATAACTTTCCATTATAATCAATGCTGAAAGCAGTTTTTTTGTGGTCTAAACCCTGTTGGCTGGTTTAATGTTCTTTTGTAGCATACTGCTTACATAAAGGTCCTTTAAAGATGTTAACTGGTTAAGAGTTGTGACTGTACACTAAATAATTTGGCAAATATATGGTAAGCAGAGTGCACTTGCTGAAAAAATTAAATCTTAGTCGTTGTAATTATTTTCTGTAAAATAATAACGCCTTACAACAGATCACTAACCTATAAAGTTTGAAAACATGCCCAAAATTTGATGTTTTCACAACAGACTATTGACAAAGGAACATCTCCTTTTAAAACAGCTTGTATTTATTACAATTTTATCTAAATAAAATAAGGTAAAGTAATTTCATTCATATAATTTATTCACACTAATATAAATGTAATTATAAGCTTTACAAGTCATAGTTCCATGCATTCTACCTACAGATATATAAATAATGAAATACCTGCTGGAGTAGTAATGGAGTTATTATACCTTTCTTTCACTCAGCACTTTTCAAACTAACCACTGACAGTACAATTTACACTGTAAAATATAAGCCAGTATTTAGATAAGAAATCTCTCCCTTCCACTCCTGGTTTTACAAAATAATATACAATACATCACAGAAACTGGCCCTTTGGCCCATCAAACCTGTGCTGATTCCTAACACTTATTTAGACCTGCTACTTATTGCCCATATGCGGTTTTTATCCCTCTGTTCGCCTCCTGTTCGTGTGTCTATCAAGATATGCCTATAACATAATGTGCTTGCTTCCACCACTTCCACTGGCAGTGCATTGCAGATACTTACCACCCTGTGTGACAAGTATTCCTTGCGCTTCTCCCCTAAACTTTCCCCCTCTCATCTTGATCCTGTGCCCTCTTGTCGGTGACCTTTCCACCCTGGGAAAAAGCCTCTGATTATCCAAACTATCTATGCCTCTCATAATTTTGTACGCCTCTTTCAGATCGCCCCACAGCTTCCTTCTTTCCAGTAGAAACTATCCAAGTTTATTCAACCTCTCCTCATAACTAAAACCCT